CTTGGGAGGGTTCACATATTCTGCTGCGAGAACTTCCACTTGAGCTTTCCTTTTCCCATTTTTGCGATTTTTCTTTTTGCTTGACTCAAATCCGTCCGTGGCTGGTTTCTTCTCTCCCCCGGTCTTCGGCTTATCGTTCTTGCGTCTTAGCGCATCATCTGCGTGGGCGCATCGCTCAACAATCTCGAACAATCTCCGAGTGGTTGTGATGCGTCTTGTCGCCAACTCCTGTGTAGTGTAGCGATCTCTGACACCGGATTTGAAGGCGCGAATTACAGAAGCATCGGTGATTTCGGGGATTGTATTTCTGCACTCATTGAAGCGCCGAAGATATTCCCTCAATGATTCACCCGAGTTCTGAGTCAACGCGTGTAGGTCGTCTTCTATCGCGTGGCGCTTGTATGTTCCTTGGAAATTGGCGACGAACTGTTGCCACAGGTCTGCCCACGAAGAGATTGAGTAGGGAGGAAGATGCATCAGCCATGAACGTGCAGAACCTTTCAACGCAGTTGGTAAATAATTCGCCAACGCGTTGTCGTCTGCTCCGGCAGCGTAGAGTACTGTGGAGTAGACTTGAAGGAACTCCTCTGGGTCGGTGCTCCCATCATACTTTTCTATTACTCTAGGTCGGAATCTCTCAGGCCATCGGACATCACGTAGGGAACGACCGAAAGCCCTACACCCAGCGTTGGGGGCGGTGGGTTGTCGGCGGTTGTGTGTCCTTCGTGGATGTCTGTCTGACGATGAGGAGGACGAGGATGATGACGATGACGACAGGTCGCTTGCTTCCAGCGTACGATTACGAGGATGTCGGCCTGGATCTCGGGAATCCTGTCGTCGTCTCCCACTATTGTCTCGGCGCCGATCTCCGTCATCATCGTCGTTATGGCGACGGCCTCGACCTGTATTGTCTCGCACCCGTCGTTCGCGATCGTTGTGATCGTGGTGGTTGTCCTGGTCTCGGTCCTCGTTTGAGCGGTCTCTTTGATTTCCGTTATCATGGCGCCGTGAAGAGACATGACGCCGAGAACGATTCACATTGTCTCGTGTGCGTCGTGCCTCTCGGCGGCCGTTGATGTGATCTCGGAGATCGCCGGTGCCGCGAGGTGGAGGGGTAGCTCGTTGGGGTGATTCCCTCCGTTCCAGGTCTTCACCATTGACATCGTCAGTTGGTGGCTGCTCCGGGTGTGCTGCGATAGCGGCTTCTTCGAACGTGTTGCTGAGGTTGGTCACTGATTCCCGTAGTCGTTCTATCAAACGCTCGAGGTCATCGTTCAGAATGGGATCGTATGGAGTTTCCCTCAGTATAGCTTGAATGGCCCTTATGGTGCTGGGCTGGAGTAGTCAATTGTCCTCCTGCTTCTGCGTTGGCGTGCGCTGACGTGCCAACGTCATCGATAGCCAATACCTCCCACGACACACTCGTTTTCGATGACCCATAGTCTTCGAGAAGGTGTAAGACTGATGGTTCGTGAGGATCGATATCGATTACCCCAACAAATCGATCTGAAATTGAAGTCGCTCCTTGTTCCTTGTCGTTATCCCTGATGGGGACGTATGACTTAGGAGACGGATCTTTCATGGCGCCAAGAAAGACCTTGCAGCTTGAGAGGCCGTGATTCTTTGTCTTGTGAATAGGACAATAGACATCACGAGTTGGAGAAACACGCTGAATTCCACGCTCTTTGCAGGCGTGAATTTCAGCGCGGACGTTGAGGAAAACCCAGCAGGCTTGCAAAGTGTGTTTTCTGGTTTTGTGGATAGAACACCAGGACCTTGTGGCTTCGGAAGTCATCTTTGTCGGCTCGCGGTTCATGTCGGAAGAACAAGGTTTGGCCGCATCAGAATCCTTCTCGAGCTCGGATGTCGTCGATGCTCTGTTCTCCGTCTCAGCGGGAGGATTTTTCGACATGAAGTCGTCTTGGTTTGTAGCCACTACGTTCTCGTTTCCGGTCATTGGGGGACCGGTTGAGATCAGCATTGTGGTGTAAACCGGGAAGACGATTTCGCCGACTTGAGTCCACACCAGCATCGTTGAAGCAGGGTGTACTTGGCAGAGGTTGGTGTTGACGCCGTTGTCGACGAAGCTGGATGACATAGTAGTAGAACCTTGAGTACCAAGTCCCCCTACCTGGCGCGCCACTGTCGACGGGTGGTACCCATAGACCGGATATAGAGGGTATTGGGGTACGTTGGTACAAGGATCTACGTAATACGACATCAAGCAACAAAAGACGAGGATTATACTGGTTCAGGCCCCTTGGTAGGTAATAGCCCTAATCCAGTTGATATGGGATTATATGGTGGAAAACACAGGTTACAAAGGGAACAATGGAACTTGTCGGATCCGGCGAGATCGTAGTCGAGTTGGTTCGACTAGATCTCGATGGCTTGGCTCCTTGCAGGCTCCGGCTTCATAGGCTATGTGGGTTGTGTTGGCTCTGAGATTCGATGCCTTAAGCCCTCACCGGGGGTTCCTTTTTATATCACAGATCTGGAGGTCTCCAAGTAGAACTCGGAGATATCAGACCCTATTCGATACGTCAATGACCCAGTCTTGTCCGAGTAGGATTCTTCCCATCCGTAGATTCCGTGAAGGATTTCCATAGAATATACAGAAAGTATCTGTATGCGCGCGGGTATACCATACCGATATGTAACGTATATCGAAGGGTAAAGGGTATGCCTAACCCGTAACCCTGACAGATTTCGCGTGTGTTGCGTGAAGGCGGCGGCTTGGTTTATATAGAGATAGGTCGCCTGATCAGGGCACTCGCGTAAACCGAACCGGATAAGTCGCGCATAACCTATCCGGACTCCACGCCATTTTCACACACCGGATTTTTGCACTCGTGTAAACCGGCGGCTCAGTTTATATAGAGATAGGTCGCCTGATCAGGGCACTCGCGTAAACCGAACCGGATAAGTCGCGCCTAACCTATCCGGACTCCACACCGTTTTCACGCACCGGATTTTTGCACTCGTGTAAACCGAACCGGATAAGTCGCGCGTAACCTATCCGGACTCCACGCCGTTTTCACGCACCGGATTTTTTGGAAATAGAAACAAAACAAATTCGAATTAGGCGGGCATTTTTTGGAAAAAGAAACAAAGCGCGTAAACCTATCCGGACTCCACGCACCGGATTTTTTTGAAACAGAAACAAAACAAATCCATTCGAATTAGGCGGGCATTTTTTGGAAAAAGAAACAAAGCGCGTAAACCTATCCGGACTCCACGCACCGGATTTTTTTGAAACAGAAACAAAACAAATCCAAATTTCGAATTAGGCGGGCATTTTTTGGAAAAAGAAACAAAGCGCGTAAACCTATCCGGACTCCACGCACCGGATTTTTTTGAAACAGAAACAAAACAAATCCAAATTTCCCGCAGACCATTCGACGTGTACGTCGTGCACGCGGGCCACCTGCCCAGGCTAGGCGAGCGAGCGTGCGCGCGTTTTTCCCCTCTTCTCTCCACCACACATGCTTCAAGTGGCTAGGAGGGCATCCTCCCTTTTAAGAAGGTCCCCCTCTCCTAGAATAAGCAAGGTGGTACTAAACTCCACATGCATGCCATCCCATGAGGTGGGCCTTTGTGATTTTCTAAAGAATTAATTTTCGGATGAGCCTTAGCCCATCTATTAATTCCAACACTATTTTGTTCGTGGTAAATACGAGCCTACACACCATATCAAAAAGTGTCAAATAACCAGATTTTTTTTTACAATTTGGTTATTTCTAAAAACTTATTTTACAATGGCCCCTTTCTAAACTTTACTATGAAAGTGGACCCATAGCTCGCGCCTAAGGCTATTGGCACTGAAGTTAAATGTCTCAATACCAATACCCAACCCTTATGCCAGTTGGTTTGGCACTGAGCATCCATATCTCATAGTATTTTTCTTCTCTCCTCCCATCCCTCTTCAAAATTTTTTGATTTTCTGCTAAATTTTAGAAATATCATGATTCATTTCCGCTAATTTATTTCAATTTATAAGAAACCTAATTTGAAATGAGGGTATGGACGCTCCCGTCCACCAACCTCTAAATCCTATTGGTTTTCCAAGGAAATTTTGACAAATTAAAATATCAAGATTCATTTTCCATAATTTGTTATTTATAGGAAACTTAATCTAAGATGAGAGTTCCTTTCTCCTTTGCCCAACCTATATGTTGATTTTTTGTGTAAAATAAAGTGGGAAAATTGACAATGTAGAATTTTTTTAATTTATTTCTAGAATTTCAGTAAGTAGTTTTTTTTTGAAAAACAAAATGGTGATTCACTGTAGTAATACTTGTGATAAAGAGATAATTTATCGTCATACTATCATGATGGAAAAAAAATTAAAAATGACTACATGGAATCTATTTAAATTTTTCTGGAGGTCTTAGTTAGAACGTGTACTGTGGTAAATTTTATTTACCAAGGCAAGAGAGTCACCGATGGCTTAGCATGAACAATTACTCCCTCCGTCTCACGATATAATGAATTTTAAGTTTTTGCTTGTACTGTTTGATCACTTGTCTTATTCAAAAAATTTGTGCAAATATAAAAAACGAAAAGTTGTGCTTAAATTACTTTAAATAATAAAGTAAGTAAAAAAATAAATAATAATTTCAAATTTTTTTGAATAAGACGAGTGGTTAAACTGTGCAAGCAAAAACTTAAAATCTCTTATATTATTGGTCCGGGGGAGTAGTTTTTTTTTTACAAACGTCTCGAGAGGGAGGAAGGAGCTAGGGTGATATATTATAAAAGCATGTAAGTAGTGTAACTCGTCCTTTAGCGGTACTTCGTAATACGTACTTGTACTTTCATTTTTGTTACCATAATCAAACCTCCTGTTTTGTACTCATTAATTTTAGTTGTACCAATGTACATTTAATTCTTTGTGAAAAACAGAACACATCTGATTATGAAAGACTCTTGTGTCTTGGTGCTCCATATAGACGCCATTAAAACCAACACCCAAGAATTGCGTATATATACGAGTACATAGAGCCTCTCACTTCCCAACACAGCTGCAGAAGCATCGTCGTACACCACACACAAAAAATGGCAGATCTTCACACCTATCTGTACCTTGGCCTGGCGCTCGTTTCCCTGCTCGCCGTGCAACTCGCCAGGCGTAGGCGCTCGTCGGCGGCGCATGGCTCTGGCGCGCTGCGGCTGCCGCCGGGGCCATGGCAGCTACCGGTCATAGGCAGCCTGCACCACCTCGTCGGCAAGCTCCCGCACCAAGCGATGCGCGACCTGGCGCGTCGCCACGGGCCGGTCATGATGCTCCGCCTGGGCGAGGTGCCCACGCTGGTGGTGTCGTCGCCGGAGGCGGCGCGCGAGGTGACCAAGACCCACGACGTGTCGTTCGCGACGCGGCCGCTGAGCTCCACCACGCGCGTGTTCAGCAACGGCGGCAGGGACATCGTGTTCGCCCCGTACGGGGACTACTGGCGCCAGCTCCGGAAGATCACCGTGACGGAGCTCCTCAGCGCGCGCCGCGTCGCCTCCTTCCGCGCCATCCGCGAGGAGGAGGTCGCCGCCATGCTGCGCGCCGTGGGCGGCTACGCGGCGGCCGGGTGCGCCGTCGAGATACGGCCGCTGTTGGCGGCGCTCGTGTCCGACTCCACCGTGCGCGCCGTGATGGGCGACCGGTTCCCCCACCGCGACGTGTTCCTCCGCGAGCTCGACCGCTCCATCGAGCTCACGGCCGGGTTCAACCCGGCGGACTTGTGGCCATCGTCGCGCCTCGCCGGCTGTCTCACCGGCACCATACGCCAGGCCAAGAAATGCTGGGACACGATGTCCAGCGTCCTCGAAAGCACCATCCAGGAGCACCTCCAGAAGAATGGCAGCAGCGGCGGCGGCGCTGGAGCCACCGACGAGGACCTCATCGATGTTTTGCTAAGGATACAGAAGGAGGGTGGGCTCCAGTTCCCGTTTGACATGGACGTCATCAAGTCTGTCATCCATGTAAGTGACTACGCCCCCCACGAGTTATCTTAGGGCACTGTTTAGCATAGCTCCAGCTTCATCTCTCCTGAAGTTGGAGCGCAGCCAAATAGTTTCAGCTCCATCTTAAAATAGGAGCACAGCTAGGTAGAGTGTTCTTAACTCGATAGGTGGAGCTGGATTTAAACTGTTCCACAACTCCACTTTATACCTAACTCCTACATTAAATGGAAAAATTGAAGCTCTATCAGAGCAAGTTCAATAGTATAACTAACTACTAACTCCAATTCATCTATAGCCAATCTAATAGCTAATTCATACAATAGTTACATACTACACTATTAATACCTGGTCCCACATGTCATACGCACACTGTATCTTGGGATCCGTGCTACAGCTGGCTATAAATCTGTAGCTCACTGCCTTTCTCTCTTCTTATTTATCTTCATAAAATATGTTTGCAGTACCTGCTCTTAAACAGACCCTTAGATCATTTTCCGTGTCATGTTCCAACTGTCAACTTGTCCTCCAGCTTGACACTATGGCATCTGGTCACATATGGTTTTTAACCAGAAAGCAGTACATAGCTTTTTAGCTGGTAAGCACGGTCATCGCTTTGCTTACGTCACTACTTCACAAAAGTAAATTGTGTCGGATGGGAAAGCCATATAGCTGCCGGATTTTTCACTCGGCATCTAACAGACGCACTAATGAGGAGCGCTATCGATAGACCGGCACCTATAAATTGTACGATTTGCGAAAAGAAAAGACTCAGCTCAAGTGAGTTGAACCGATGCTCCAAATCCAACAAAAAAAATGAATTGAAAGGCACAATAACACAAGAATGCTCATAATAGAATCAAACAAGCATTCATCATCCAACATCCCAGAACAAGCACTAGAGCACTAGAACGGGCGCCGCCGCTCACCCTTGTTGACGTCGAAGGAAGGAGAAGACAGATGCTGCTCGGGGACCAGCGCGGGGGCCAAATCCGATGGACCCCGAACTCAGGCCTGCTGGACTTGGCATCGGTTCCACCGCCGTCACCGTTGCCACTCGCGAGGGAGAGGATGTCGTCGTTTCTCTCGAGGGAGAGGGTGTTGCTGCCGCTCGCAAAGGAGAGGATGTTGCCACTACTCGCGAGGGAGAGGGTGCCACCAGTGCTCGCTGGTGGCGAGGGGAAAATGAGAGAACAGTGGGTTAGAGGACTCAGCGTGAATGGATAAGAATGAGAGGCTCAACTTAGCTTGGTTTTTACGGATACCTGTGTTTTAATTAGCCAGCAACTATAATACATTATAGGTGCTGGTTCTTTTAAAAAATCAATATCAATAGTATTGCTGCTAGTTTTTCTCTAAAACCAGTACTTATAGTTGTTCAAAGGTATCGGTTGTATACTTTTTTGGCCCATGGAGGTGGGAAATGGTAATAAGTACCGGTTCCAATTGAATCGGCTACTATGAGCCGAGCCCTATTAGAAGAAGTTCTATAGTAGTGTGTATAAGCTGTTACTGCTTAGAACAACAAAAGATAATTATGATAAAACTTTTATACATGAGTTTGTTAGTAAATTAAAATCAAATATTGAAAGTTAAACTTTAATTAAAAAAACCACAAAGAGTGAAATGTAACTCATATCAAATTTCGGCTATAGCTTATAAGCTGAAGGTTAAACGATGGGAGTGTACAGAGTGAAGACATGATGAACATCATAAGAACACTACAAAACCTTAGAGTTGGGCCAGTTGGCTCTCTTCGTGTTCATTGCTGCGTCTTCAAGGTAGAATGGAGTGGACATCCTCTCGGTTTGTGCATATCGTATATAAAGTCACAAACTTTTTTCTTAAAAAAAATAAAAGATAGATCTATGGTACATCACCCCACAAACATGCTAAAAAAATATATTTATATAGGTGTCAAATTTAAACTTACATGTTTATTAAGTGATATACCACATACGTTAAATTTGAACTTACATATTTGTGGGCTGATATACAATATATTGTTCTATCTTATCAAATTTGTAATTAACTTTTTAGATAACACTGCACCGTTTTTTAATAGATGATGTTAACTTTTGATATGACATATGTCCATTTGTCTTATTTTCAAAAGAAAAATATTAATATTATTTATTTTGTTCTAACTTATTTTATTATTATATAAATTTAAGTAGGGCTTGTATCTAACTGTTATTCTAAATGTTATTTTAAAATTTAATCACATCATCTATTTGAAGAAAACGAAGAACGAAGGTAGTATATATATAAAAACATCACCTGTAGAAACTAATAGAGACCTCCCCCAGTCCCCCTCTTCCGGAAATTCCTACTATCTGATCTCATTCCTCTGCTTCTTTTCAGCGCTTCTCCCTCATCTATGCCTCTAATTGTCTGATTTTTTTGTATCTTGTATCTCGGGTTTATTAGAGTGAGCCTACGGTACGAATTTGATCGCCATTGAAAGCCATGAAGTCCAATCTGTTCGTTCTTTCGTGATGGTCAGCTACGCAGCTTCAATAAAAATATGGGAAAGTAAAATCATCCATCGAGGAGATATCCCCTCGTTTCGTGCATATCACCTAAATAGTCATAAAAAATATGAAAAAAATTGACAACATAGATTATTATGAAATATATCACTCCACAAACATGCAAGTTTAAATTCAACTTCTACAAGTTGTAACAAAAATAACAAATATAGCTACGAATGTACGATAACTATTTTCAGTTTAATTTGTTATTTTTGTTGCAACTTATAGTAGTTGAATTTGGTCTTGCATGTTTGTGGAGTCATATATTTCGTATTAATCTATATTGTCAATTTTTTTAAAAAATTTTTAATATAACATGCAAAAAAAAAAAGAGGGGATGTTCCTCGAGGGATGAAAATCCACGTGCTAAAAATATGGATCACATGCATGCAGAATGTCTTTGGCGCCGGCAGCGAGACGTCGGCGACGACGCTGGGGTGGGCGATCGCTGAGCTAATCCGGAACCCGATGGCGATGAAGAAGGCGACGGCCGAGGTGAGGCAAGCCTTCGCAGCGGCCGGCGTTGTGTCAGAGGCCGCGCTCAGTGAGCTCCGATACCTGCACCTCGTCATCAAGGAGACGCTCCGTCTCCACCCACCGGGGCCACTGCTGCTGCCGCGCGAGTGCCGGGAGCAGTGCAAGGTGCTCGGCTACGACGTGCCGCGCGGCACACAGGTGCTGGTCAACGTCTGGGCGATCGGCCGCGACCCGCGGTACTGGCCTGGCGGCTCGCCCGAGGAGTTCCGGCCGGAGCGGTTCGGCGACGGCGAGCCAGCCGCCGCGTTGGATTTCAAGGGCACCGACTACGAGCTTCTGCCGTTCGGCGCCGGCCGGCGGATGTGCCCCGGGTTGGCGTTCGGGCTCGCCAACGTGGAGCTCCCTCTCGCCAGCTTGCTCTTCCACTTTGACTGGGAGGTGCCCGGAATGGCCGACCCGACCAAGCTCGACATGACTGAGGCGTTCGGCATCGGTGTTCGCCGGAAGGCTGACCTCATCATTCGCCCCATACTCCGCGTGCCCGTGCCCGGCGTCTAGCCGAGGTCGCCGACGTTTCGTCGAACATTTAAATATTATCTCGTTGCGCACTACAGGTGTCACAACTCCTCAGCCATATGTCGCGCAGTACATAAGCTTATCCAACGCAACCACCATTATATATGCTCATCCAAGCAATAAGTCTCACTTATTAGGAAACATTTGGGCTTGGACCATGAAGACCCAGCCCAACATACTTATAAGACCCTTCACCTTACTTTTTATATATGCATTATGCTTATAAATAGAGGGTTGGAAACTCACTATTGTACACTTGAGCAATGGATGAATGAATAAGAGTATGTCCTACCCCTATATTTTATGTCTCCACTTTTTTATACATTATGCATCCCCTCTGTACTATACATGTAGCACAGGGGTTGCATAATACACTGGTGGAGAAAGGGGCTTTACTCGCGGGTGGGAACCCCCCTATACTCCCGGTTGTATAACCGGGACTACGAATCCGGGACTAAAGATGCCCATCTTTAGTCCCGGGTAAAATAACCGGGACTAAAGATGGTAGGAGCAGTCCCGGTTAATTCTTTTTTTTTTCTCAAATTGATCTGCTCCCTAAATATCCTCAATCATATCCTCAAATTATCCACAAACCAAACTAACATCACAGATCTGGAAAGAAATGCATCACAGATTCTCAAACAAAAAATACATCACAAATCCTAAAAGAAATACACCACAACTCAAATACATCCCAGATCAAATCCAATATCACATACATCACAGATCAAATCCAATCCAATATCACATACATCACAGATTAAATCCAATGAATCACATATTAAAAAAAATCCGGCAGCAGAGGGGAGGGCGCCGCCGGCCTCCCGTCCTCTCGCCTCCGCGCCAGCACGGCCCGCCGCGCCCAGCCGCCTGGCTGCCTGGCCGCCCGGCCGTCGCCGCTCCCGCCCGGCCTCCCGCCGCTCCCGCCTGGGCGCTCGCCCGCCCGGCCGTGCCGCTCCCGCTCGCCTGGCCGCTCGCCGCGCTCGCCTGGCCGGCCAGCCGCTCGGCCGCCGCCGCTCCCGCCCGGCCGGTGCTCCGAAGAGGGGAAAGGGGCGAACGGGAAAGGAAGGGAAAGGGGAGAGGAAGGATCAGATAGGGAATGAAGGGGAGAGGAAGGGGATGAAGGGGAGAGGAAGGGATGGAGAGGAAATATTAATGAGAGGGGAGAGGAGATCGAGAGGAGAGCGGATAAAGATGGCGCGCACGGCTCGAGGTGCTCTTTCCTCCCGGTTGGTATAAACAACCGGGACTAAAAATAGATCTTTAGTCCCAGTTGTTTATACCAACGGGGAGTAAAAATAGTTGAGGTATGTCTTGAACCCGACAATTTCTTGAATCGGGAGTAAAAATGATCTTTAGTCCCGGGACTAAAGATCAAAAAGTACTCCTCAACTTTTAAACCAGGACTAAAGATGTTTTTTAGTCCCGGTTTTTATTAGAACCGGGACTGTTGTGAAATTTGGCTGACCGACCAAAGATGGTTTCTCCACCAGTGATAGCATAACGTTCTACTAGAAATCAAGGAAGAAGAAGGGTAACAACTCGCAAATCCATTTTGCATCTCACTAATATAATCACGAAAACAGATTCCTCTCTCTATTCTTGTTCCTTTATACTGCTCTCGGAGAAATCCTCCAACGCCGACGTGGAGTCGCCGGTGAATGCCGATTGGGGATTTTTTGGGAACGGTTGCCCGCCAATGAGCGTTTCACCATGCCGCATCGGCCACAGACATTGCACCGAGCCATGGAGAAAAAAAAAAGAAAGAAGCACCAACAAACGAGTAGCCGTGGTTGCTTGCCGCACCGCCCCGCCGTCGCACGGCCGCCGGCCCTGTCCATGCCTTGCAGCCACAGGGCCGCGCAGCTGCATGGCTGACTGAAGCGCTGCTCCAGCTGTTGCATCGCACGGCCGCTACCAACCTCAGACGGGCGCATCGTTGCGCCGTGTCCGTCGTCCTCCGCCAGACAGCGCCACCGACCTCTTCCATAATACTACTAGTACGGAGCTGTGTGTTGTAAACTAAGTGACTACTAACTCTAATTAAAATATAAGAAATTATGTCTATATTGTTATTTGTATAAATTTCTTTATATTTTACGACAGAGATAAAGTAGCAGTATCAGTAAGAGTGGAGTAAATGTGCGTGCTTTTTGTGAGTCTTGTGACTTGTGACCTCATGATCCTTTGTCCTAACTCCGTTCCAGAAATATCATAGTTTTGCACTGTTTATATCCAACAATTGACCATCTGATTTATTTGAAAAAAATTTACGATTAGTATTTTTATTGTTATTAGATGATAAAACATGAATAATACTTTATGTGTGACTATTTTTTATTTTTTTATATATTTTTCAAATAAGACAGTGGTTAAACGTTGTACACAGAAACACACAACTGCATTGAAGAAAGTAGTATACCAATACTGCTTCTGTAATGGCTGTAGAAACTGACATGTGCGTCCTGAAACAAAAGATAAATACGTACAACGTCCCAGGGCTTATTAATCAACCAATCAATCCATCAACCAATACTTCTAATGCTGTTATGTCAACATCTGATTGGTTCATGTGGCACCTCGATTTGTAAGATAATTTTTTTTTTGAACGAATCGACTAGGCCACCAATTTTATTGAATAGAGAAGAAACTGTATAAAAAGGGAGAATGTACAGGAAACAAACCAGGGCCACGGTCCTAACTACTGGCAATTACATTGTCAACCAGGCGATGAGATTTTTTGCGCCCGCCAGCCCCTACGTTTTTGCTTCCTCCTTTATCTTGGCTAGCAGAGTTGGCGCTGGCAACTCCTTGTGCTGGAAAGTCCTTCGGTTCCTTTCATTCCATATCTCCCGGTTCACAAGCAAGGTTAGCGTGTGCTTCCCGTATGCTTACGGTGGCCTCCCACCACTCATACTGTCAAAGTTACTTGCCAACTAGAAGGTCTTAGATGGTCGTTGCCTGTCCACTGCGCGATTTCATTCCAGATTCTCCTTATGTATCTATATTCCGCTAGCAGGTGCAAAGCCGTCTCTTGAGTCTGGCGACATAAAGGGCATGTGGATCCGTTGGGCCAGCCTCTGGTGGCTAGTCTGTCTGATGTCCACTCTCTGTATTGGAGTATCAGCTAGGCAAAGGACTTGCACTTGTGCGGCATCCAAGGCCTCCATATTAGGGTGTCGAAATTTGACGATGTTGTACCCAGGAGCTGCACCTTATAAGCTGTGGTGGCCGTGTATTCGCCATGGTTGTTTAGCTTCCAGGTGATCTGGTCTTCATGTTCCGTGAAGTGTACATTCTGAACGGCGCTCCAAATGGTGATGAGCTGGTCAATCAGATCCGTTGTCCATCCTTCGTTTGTTGGAAGAGCAAGGTCGTGCAGCCATTGATCTACCAAAGCAGCATGTTTGAGGGTCCTGCTCTTTTTCCTAGAGGCCGCGTGGACTAGTGGTGTGACATCCTTCAATCTTTGCCCGGAGCCAAGCCAACTCCCAGAACTTCACTTTCGCTCCATCTCCAATTTGTTTTGTAGTTGCTGTTTCAAACAATAGCTTGTCAGTTTTATCACAAGGTGTTTCTGACCCCACGCCCAAGCCTTTTCCGGTGACTTCCATTCATGCCAGAGCCATCGCAATCGAAGGGCCCTTGCGAATTTTTCGAGACTCAGGATGCCAAGACCTCCCGAGGCAGTAGAGAGGAAAGTCCACGTCCAATTCACCTTGCACTTCCCTCCTGTGATGGTTTCGTTTCCCGCCCACAAGAACTATCTTCTCTTCTCTGTTTGTCCAAGACTTCAAGGGATTCCTTAGAAGCTTTCAAGTCCGCCAGTATGAAAATAGGCTGGATTTCTAAGATAAATTCAAGTTACCAGGAAAAGAAAAAGTCCAAAACCGTATCCGGAAACATAGGTGGCACCCCCCTCCCCCAGATGCGGCTTCCCTGTACTTCCTACTTCCGTATTCCCGTCCCTGTTTCCGCTACATGGCGTACATCCATTTGCTTTTGTTTCACCGGTGGCCCTACTTCCTTCCCATCCATCGGAAAAACAAAAATCGAGTCTCCAACACTCTCCCTACAGGGTCCAGACTGATCCTCACATCGTTCAGGTCTGAACAACTTTTGCTGATTTGCTGGTTATCGGGTGCATGCTCATCACCTGGAGAGGTCCTCTTGGATTCTTCCTTGCTAGTGTTGCCTGCCCTAAACCATCCTGAACAAATTACTGTGCTTTTGCATCAATGGCATGTGTGGTATCAAAGGGACAAAACGGAAACCTTAGCTAGCTTGAGGCAAGAACAAAATCAATACTGTTATAGAAGATCATTAATTGATAACAATTTCAACTAGGGCGATGCCTCTTTCCATCCTTTTCTTTGTTTCTTATTTTTTTCATACATTCTGGTGCAACCGTGCAAGTCTGCGACTCTGTGAGTATGTACTCTCTTACAGGCTTCCACCGATGAAAATTGAAATGAACTCCTAGCAGATTAACTGCTACACATTCATAAAAGGACAAAACTTCCAAAAACCTTTGTCTCCATGTTCATCCATGGATGATAGGAAGCACCCGAGTAACAGTTTTTGGTGTTACCTGAGCACATCTTGAAACTTGCAGACATAATCAAAGCTATTGAGATGCGCCACACATCCGATTAGCGAAGAAAGCTGCCAAGAGGAAATCACCTGCGGCTACGGGGCATCATTGGAGGTGGAAGTGTCCAAGCGGAACTAATCCAATATAACAATGGAGTAATGAAGGCTGAAAAAATTATACGTTTCTGTTTTGATTTGGGGAAGAAGAAGGGTGGGGCCACCAGGCAAACAAGAAGCGAATAGGAGTAGGCCACGTAGCAGGAAAAGGGACGGGAATACGGAAGTAGGAACAGGGAAGCCGCACCCACACACACACTGCGTGACCTACGGCTTGCTTGGGCACGACCGCACGAGCAGCAGCTTGGGCAGCTGGGTCTGCATGGGCCTGGTGGCACTTTGAAGTGCTAAACGATCCAATTGGCCTAGGAGACAGCACAAACAGGAAGGAAGAAAGAAAAAGATAATCAATTTCAGGTTCAGACACATACTAGAATTTTAGCAGCACAAATAAATATAATTGAAATGAAAAGTGTAGTTGTTTTTATCAAAATTTATCGGTTTGTTCTAACTTTAGCCTCAATTGTTTCACTCTGTTAAAAACCTACAGGTCATTAACACGCGATACTCCCACTAAATTATCCTTTTAAATGTGCGATCTTCGCAGAAGGGTAAATGGAAAATAAAGAAATGATCTATATATGCTAAAGGGACAACGCGTCAATAGACACGCTAATTTTTGTAGTATAGTAATGATTGCGAAGAATCCCCACATAATATATATCTCACTGCTTATATGGATCTTATGATGGAGCTAGAAACATCGTGAAACCTAAGGCATGTTGGCAGTAATTCTATCGAGCCATTCACAGAGAACCACTTTATTATGAGAAGCATCATGTAGGATGGGGTAATGGGTCTCAACTCTCTCTTTATTCCACAGTGCATCACTTTGTTACGAGAAACCTCGTGTAGCATGGGGCAACGGGTCTCAACTCTCTCTTTATCCCACAATGCAAAGGAGTTATACCTGTGGCTTTAACTTTTCATATCAGCCCCTAACATTTTACATTAAAGTTCTCGTAGTTTGTCAATTTAGAGAATACTTCAAATTTTACACAAAACACCCTCAAAATCGGAAACATATATAAAATCCCTCCTTCCTCACTTTCCCCGTTGCCCTTCCAGTGCCACCGACGCCTCTCCCGTTCCCATCCCCCAACGGCGACCCACGCTCCTCACCATACAGTCGCCACCGGCACACCACCCCTCCTATATATCCTCCTTCCCCAACTGGCGGCCCTATTCCCTTGGGCGGCGTGGACTGCGGGAGACGGCGAGATCGGCAGCGTGGGAGCAAGGGACGGCGGGAGCTCTTCAAAGACCCCCACTCATGTCCTACTCCAACTGGTGGCTTTCCTCCCTTGGCCGGATACTGACGAGCTCCTCTCCCTCTCCGTCAAGCTGCTGCTGCTGCAGACCGAGGTGGTTCGGAGCGGGGACGACGACGAGCTTGGCGGCGCTGAACGGGAACGAAAACAAGGTTAGTTTGCCACCTCCTTTTCCTCTGTCGCCACCATCCTCCCTTCTCCTCACTCGACCACCACCCCACTAAGCAGATCCGACCTCGGGTTCACAGGATTTAGCGAGCACCGCTTTGGCGACGACGCAGCTCGTGATGGTGGCCTCGCTGGCGACCTCCGCCGCCTTGCACGAGGTGTGGAGGCGTCGCACGGGGCCACACCTCACCCAACACGCTGCTCGCCCTGTGCCTCATTCCGCCTTGACAAATGTCTATCCAAATTTTGATGAAGAACCGGTGGCTTTGTTTGGTTCCACGGTCTTCAGGTTGGGAGCGCAGATGTGTGCGTGGCATGGAATCCCCGATGTGGATGGTCGGGGCCGAACGTCAAGCACGCGCACTATAAATGGCATTAGGTATGCAATTAAACTTTAATATTTAGTACTCTCTTCATTAAATTTGATTTTCAAATTAGGTGGGCCGACACATCTTAATATTCAGGAAGTTGTGATATGACGGCTTGCTATCGAGAGGCACATTGTCTATTAATGAAATAATAATTAGTCATAAAGACAAGTGCTTATGCCCACTTAAGAATTTAAATCCGGATAAATAGATTCCAGAAACCTAGCCGGTTAATTTATACTCATTTTACGATTAACGTTATAAATGACCAGAAATAAACAAGATAACATTCATTTGTCCTCACGAAGATTAACTGCATTTTCGTCGCATCCGGATTATGGAGCTCCATACTGAAAACGACATCACTACAGATTAAGAACCAAATCCCCTTCATCCACGAGCCGTCTCCTCCACTACATTTTGTACGCACCAACACTGGCAAACACTAGCCGAGCGCCCCAGCATCCTGCCTGCGCGACACAGCAATGGCAGATGGTTACTTCTACCTCGGCTTAGCTCTCGTGTCGTTGCTCGTCGTGCTGTTCGCCAGGCGCAGGCGATCGGCGGCGGCGGCACATGGCGACGCCGGGCTGCGGTTGCCGCCGGGGCCATGGCAGCTGCCGGTCATCGGCAGCCTGCACCACCTCGCCGGCAAGCTCCCGCACCGCGCGATGCGCGACCTGGCGCGCCGCCACGGGCCGGTCATGATGCTACGGCTCGGAGAGGTGCCCACGCTGGTGGTGTCGTCGCGGGACGCGGCGCGGGAGGTGATGCGGACGCACGACGCGGCGTTCGCGTCGCGGCCGCTGAGCGCCAGCGTGCGCGCGGCCACCAAAGGAGGCAGGGACATAGCCTTCGCGCCGTACGGGGACTACTGGCGCCAGCTGAGGAAGATCGCCGTCACGGAGCTCCTCTCGGCGCGACGCGTCCTGTCCTTCCGCCCCATCCGCGAGGAGGAGGTCGCCGCCACGCTGCGCGCGGTCGCCGCGGCCGCGGCGGACGGGCGGACCGTGGAGCTGCGGGCGGCGCTGTGCGCGCTCGTGGCCGACTCCACCGTGCGCGCCGTGGTGGGCGAGCGGTGCGCGGGCCTCGACGTGTTCCTCCGCCAGCTCGACCGCGCCATCGAGCTCGCTGCTGGGCTCAACGTGGCGGACCTGTGGCCGTCGTCGCGTCTCGCCGGCCGTCTCAGCGGCGCCGTGCGCCAGGCCGAGAGGTGTCGTGACACGATGTTCGGCGTCCTCGACGGCATCATCCAGGCGCACCTGGAGAAGACTGGCGGCGCCGGCGAAGACATTCTAGACGTGCTACTGAGGATACATAAGGAGGGCGGGCTGGAGTTCCCTCTCGACATGGACGCCGTCAAATGCGTCGTCGTTGTGAGTGACTAGCAGCATTTCTTATGAACAATGGTTTCATGGTGTCTTTCCAAGCTGTTCTTTTTTCTCTGCCATGATGGCCAGCTCGAATGCTCGATCACGCAGCTTCATATCATAAAAAAAAACGATGAAACACACGCAGGATGTCATCAGCGGAGGCTGCGAGACGTCGGCGACGACGCTGGGGTGGGCGTTCGCGGAGCTAATCCGGAACCCGGCGGCGATGAAGAAGGCGACGGCCGAGGTTCGCCGTGACTTCGAGGCGGCCGGCGCCGTGTCAGAGAGCGCGCTCGCCGTCGGCGAGCTCCCGTACCTTCGCCTCGTCGTCAGGGAGACGCTCCGGCTGCACCCGCCGCTGCCGCTGCTGCTCCCGCGCGAGTGCCGGGAGCCGTGCCGGGTGCTCGGCTACGACGTGCCGCGCGGCGCGCAGGTGCTGGTGAACGCCTGGGCGATCGGCCGCGACGAGCGGTACTGGCCCGGCGGCTCGCCGGAGGAGTTCCGGCCGGAGCGGTTCGGCGACGGCGAGGCGGCCGCCGCGGTGGACTTCAAGGGCGCCGACTTCGAGCTCCTGCCGTTCGGCGGCGGCCGGCGGATGTGCCCCGGGATGGCGTTCGGGTTCGCAAACGTGGAGCTCCCACTCGCCAGCCTGCTCTTCCACATCGACTGGGAGGCCTCCGGTGTGGCTGACCCGACCGAGTTCGACATGACAGAGGCGTTCGGCATCACGGCGCGCCGCAAGGCCAACCTCCTGCTCCGTCCAATCCTTAGAGTGCCCGTGCCGGGCGTCTAGGTCATCGACGTCGCCGGCCCAGCCGGCGCTATATTTACAAGGATAAAATTCACTGTGGGAGTTCACTTGGATATATATATTTTTAGGAAATCATTAGCTGCACTAAGGAATCCGATCGTCTCAGTTAGCATGCGAGTTTTTTTAAACATATTTCTCATATAATTCCTTCTATATTACCATCTTAAAAACCGACTGAAATACGAATATGTATTTCTAAAAGCAAACGAACTTAAAAACCGACTCATACACGGATGACGTACCAAAATACCGGCAAAAACATTTTTAATTTTTATAATAGTAGAGATAGAGATAGAGATAGAGAAGAGATATAGACTAAAACTAAAACATAAAATTAAAGTTGACTCAAACACGAATGACGAACTGCGGAAACATCTTCAATTTTTATAATCGACTCAAACACGGATGACGGACCGCGGAAACATCTTCAATTTTTATAATATATAATAGTAGGGACAGAGAAGAGATAAATCATGTATCAGTTAAAGTAACACAAATAAACATTACTGTTGATGGCTGTTAAGTATCGAATTAACACCGTTAATACCAGCATAAGACCATAATTGTAAACATCCAACATAGTGGTAGGGCTTATTTATAATAATTTCCACAAGTGTTGGTGTATATTTATATGCAGGTGACAAACTACCAAGGTTGAGAGGAAATATACATGAAGGAGGATGAGAATCAAACTCGTATCCGAACTTAAGGAGTTTTGGACCCATAAATTAAACACCTCCATATGGGCCAAACATTCATACCAATGAATTGAGGGCCCCAAAATGAGTGTCCAGGACGAAAACCGGAGCGAACGGAGCCGTCCCGGGTTCGGCCGAACCCCTGAGTTCGGCTGAACCCTAGCAGAGGCCGTTCGCCCCAGCCCAAGTTCAGTTCGGTAGCAATCCGCCTCCCAATGACAGTTATGGCCGTTTTCACCGGTAGAAACCGTCATTAGCTTGAACGCTTGGCAACACAAGAGAGATGATGCTCTTTGGATGCTTGGAGCATCTCCACACTCCCAAGGCACTTCACCTATAAATACCCCTCTCATCCTCACTTGTAAACACACACCAAATCATAAGCTGAATTATAAGAGGCTCTAGTATACTTTATTGTATATTAGAATAGGGAGAGGGTAAGGTGGAAGGAATCGGAGGAATCCCGGAGTTGTCGATAATCTCCTCCTACTTTTGTATCTTGTTATTTACTCTGCTTTAATAGAAATATCATTCTGAGTAATTAAGATTTGCTTAGTGAGAATTACTTCTTGGTTAGTTCCTAATTAGCATACGGGATCATTGTTTACTATAGTCTATTTATTTATAGTGATTGCTTTAGTGTTTGATCGGCACTAGAGTAGTTATTAATTGCGTAGATGCGGTGTCTAGATAATTAATCTGCAGTTGTTGCTGCGTATCCCATAGTACGTTTGAGGTAGGTGTAGAGGTGGTGACAGCCCTCAAGAGCACTTAAGTACTCCCTGTCCGGTTACGTAGTAGAGCGACATCTGGTAACAGCGGGTTGCCAGTGCCTGAAGTATTGCGTTAGGATTAAAGTTAAGCTTTCCTTAAACACTGTTTCTCATTAGGAAATCCTCTCTACCCTCTGCCCACATTAGCTTTGTGTCCTTGGATGAACCTAACGAGGAGATAATCATACACGTTCTCTTGGATTTGATACCTTTGGAATACTCCGTAGGGGAAGTGCTACATCAGTATATCCGTGCGCTTGCGGATTCTAGCTGTGACATTGAGAAATACCAACAATTACTAACATGATAAACATCTAAAATTGTGAAGTAAATTAAATAAGAGTGAAACAAAATCCTAGCCTAAGTTTTAGGCTAAATTGATGCAAAAATCAGAAGATGAGAAGATCATAAGACCACAACTTAAATAATCTTAGTCATGAACTCATGATGAGGTAAGGTGTGGCCGTATGCGAGTTGGACGTGAGGGCAGGTGACAATGTTCTCCAGGTTGGTTAGTGATAGCCCCCGACCAACCTGGGTCCTAGGTTGTCGTGCAAGTGGTCTAGTCTCTTGAGTTGGCCTTTGGTCACTAGTGTTTCATCAATCGGATAGGGTATGTTTGGTTCAAGGTTATGGTTGGATGTAATATAGCCATCTATATTTTAGAGGATGAAGCTAAGTTTTTTTTAGGATGGGATAAGCTTATTTGATTGGTAGGATGAGGATGGATTGGATGAAAGCAATAAACTTAATTATAATATCTTCCTCGAAAAAATGCCCGTGTGTTGCAACGGGAAGAAAAGATGAGAAAATTGAGGAGAATTTGAGAAAGATTTACATTATGTAATTAAATTAAATACACATTTCCTGGAATACTTGATTTTTTAAGTAGGTAGGTGTTTAAATTAATTTAAAAGTAAAGTAAGTGTGGAAATAAAATGATATAGCTAAATTTAATTTTTAATGAAGTTCTCCATGATTAATTACACTCTCTGGAATTTTCTTGAAATTTTCAGATCTCAATTGCTAACTTTAATAATACAAACATCATTTAAGAATTTATTTTAAAAAAATCTAAATAAAAACTCTCCATTCTCTCTACGCCAATTTCATCCCGTTTCCTTCCTCGGCCTGCAGCCTAGCCGGCCCACTTTTCTCCCTTCTCCTCCCCTCTTCCTCGGCCCGCAAGTACGCATCCGGCCCAGCAAAGCACTACAAGTCTAATCAGCCTCCCTCGCTCCTTCTTTTACTGTCATGTGGGCCAGTGCTACCGGGTCGTCTCCTACCTCCGTCCGTATTGCCGCATCTGCCCGATGACGCCTGAATCCGCCTCCTCCGTGAAATCAGTCCACATCCATGGAGATAATTAGAAATTGAGTGAGGGGTTTTGATCCTTATCTTCTCCCCTTTCTGTTTTCCCAAGAATCAAAACAAAACCACGTCGTATAGATGTTGGAAGAGAAACCCTAGCTTTATAGTTCGAGTCTGTTTCTCTTCAAATCTGCGCATGCACGTGCTGAGATGGAGGGAATCGGACGGACGAAAAAAGTGTGACTAAAGGAAAAATACGAATATTTTAGTTAGGTACAGATATAGAAGTGCTATAATAATAGTAAGTCATACAATTAATAATACAAATTAGCACTTGTTTACACTAGTTTTATCGTGCTAATTACTAATCAATATCAAACATGTTTAATATCATTAATCATAATTTAACCTACTTAGTAATCATACACTAATTAGTATTCTAGACAAGGTGGATTATAGATTGCCAAAAGGCCTGAGGCTAGACAACCTGGCCCAGGCATGGCATGGCCTGGCCCAACCTTTGGGCTGTGCTTGGGCCTCTGCCTCAGCATGGTGGACCATCCCGATACGACATGTTCCAATGATTAGGGAGGCAAAATAGATGAGGGAGAGAAATAGACTTATTTTAGCCATATAAGGCACAGCCCAAAGAGATAAAGAATGCAAAATAGACTTATTCCAGCCATATAAGACACGGCCCAAAGATATGAGGGACATAAAATAGACTTATTCCAAGGAGGAGCACGGTGGGCTTTCGTACCTTCGAGCCAGCTCGGCACGACCCGAATCTTATTGGACTGTGTTTGGGTTGTTGGTGCAGCCCATGGGTGGGCATGGCCCGGCCCGACATGCAGGTCAAGTCGTGCTGACCCAACTGATCTCAGGCTCGGGTCTGGTCATGCCCCGGCTGGACAGTCCATTTAGCCATCCACATGGTGGATGTCTTAATCCGGTAAAATAAGCCTAATCCCTCTATCGTGAATATTGAGAGAATATTTCATCTTTTTAGCTGCCTCATTCACCCTACCCTTCAAACAAACATCACCAAAAACTAGAAGACCAACTCCCATTCAGCTCCGGCCATTAGCCAATTCCACCACCGGTTCTAAAAGTCAGTTGCTAGATAAGATGGCCGTATCGTACGGTAAAGCGACAGACACATTCGAGAGTACATGCGCATATGAAATGTTTCCGTCGGTTCGTTTGGTACGTCATCTGCCTACCAAGGGCGAAGCTACATAGGAGAGGGGCGGGGGGGGGGGGGGGGGTTTGCCTGGTACTTCATTTATTTTTACCGTACGTACACGCGTCAATCGAAACTCAGGTACTCGTATAGTAAAGCAAACGAGTGGTACCTCCCTCCAGTTACCTACTACTCCCTCCGTTCAAAAAAAGACAAACCCTGGTTTCCGTGTTCAATGTTTGACCGTCCGTCTTATTTAAAAAAATTATAAAAAAAATTTAAAAAATAAGTCGCGCATAAAGTATTAATCATGTTTTATCATCTAACAATAATAAAAATACTAATTATAAAAAAATTTCATATAAGACGGACAGTCAAACGTTAGTAAGGAAATCTAGGGTTTGCCTTTTTCGTGAAGGAGAGAGTACTTCCGATTTCCAGAGCTTCGAACCCCGTCCTCTCGCCCGCCCGCGTCCGATTTGCAGCGTGAAATAGCACGTCCCATTCGTTCGATTGTGTGTGAAGCAGCAACAGCGGAATCGTTTCTTGCTTTCGTTCAGATTCGGCTTCTGTTTCCTATCGCTTTGTCCAGACTACCAGTTGCCGTCCCTGGTAGACTTCAGAATAGTCTGTTATACTTATCTAAAGAAAGAATAGTCTGTTATTTGATATACTTATTAATATTTTTTTGGCTTGTAATGTCACAATCATTTCTGGTAATAGAGTCTTCCCTTTCTAAGGGCTTGTTTAATTGGCAAAAAAATTTTCCCCTACATGTCACATCGGATATATTGATACACATTTAAAGTATTAAACGTAATCTAATAACAAAATAAATTACAGAATCCACCGGAAAACTGCGAGACAAATTTATTAAGCCTAATTAATTCGTTATTAGCAAATGTTTACTGTAGCATTATATTGTTAAATCATGGCGTAATTATGCTTAAAAGATTCGTCTCGTAATTTCCTAGCGAACCGTGTAATTTATTTTCGTCTACATTTAATACTCTATATATGTGTCTAAATATTCGATGTGACAGCGTGAAAAATTTTATTTGGAACCTCAACATGCCCTAAAAAGAAAACGAGAAGAAATTCTTAAGCCGGCTTCCGCCGGCCGGCCAAGGTCAGTCACATCACTAAGCACAAAGCTCAACAACCTTGCAGCGAAAATATGTAGTACTCCACCTGAATACCTGATTGGTCCAGACCCCAAATCACTTTGGAGGAGGATTCCAATTAGGCTGTGTTTAGTTAGATGGCAAAGTTTGGATTTTAGTTGAAGTTGGAGATGATGTGACTGAAAAGTTATGTGTATGATAGGTTGATGTGATGAAAAAGGACTGAAGTTTGAATTCAAAGTTTGAATCTAAACATAGCCTTAATGTTCTTCACCAAAAGGAGACAGGCAACTTCGATTGACACCTTGATAGTCTCATGAACACAAGAATACCTCAGGATCTTGTTGCATGCGTCATTACATGGTGACAAAAAGAAAAAACACAGATTTATATAGGCATGGTTCTTTACAATATTGCCTCTACACTTGTAGGAGCTGATGGATCGAAATAGGGATTGATATACGTGCCCGGCCTCATTTGTTAGTTGCTCGTACTATAGATGATGCGGTACTGCATTGTACTTTCTCAATTCTAAAATAATTCCACACATACCAATAAAAAAAAGACTATAATACTCCTGTTTTCCTAAATTTCATCTACTCTAAGTACATTTATATATCATAAGTTCACAAACTTCAATAGCTCAAATAAACTTATTTTAAAACAAATGAAAAGAACTAAAAATAAACTTATTATGAGACGATGAAAGTCCTACTGTATATCCAATTATCCATAAAACTGTGCAGCATACAAACTGCTATGAGAATAAACCGTACAAATATTTATGGGATAATAGTTGTGGTTTAAAAGAAAATGCTAAAAAGTAAAGTTAAAAAAATATAAAATCAATTCTAGAATCAAAATTTAATATTAAAATATATGCTTGTGGCTGATAACTGACAAGACAGACAGCAGGCCATGCGAGAGGTGTACCACCAGATAGTACACGCTGAACGTGCATGAGATCTGAAGGGATCTGATAAACAATTAATTCAATTATTAGTACTTATTAGCGTTACAATTAAGGGACAAGTACGAATTACCCTCCAACTATCACGGTCGTCCGAATTACCCCGAACTATAAAATCGGACATTCTTCACTCCCAACTATAAATACCGGACGAATTACTCCAGTCATCATTCTCTTTATAAAAAATTATGGGACCCACCTGTCATACACTACTCTCTCTTCTCAATACTCTCTCTCTCTCACTTCTCCAGGCGACGGCGGATGCGGAGAGGCGAGCGCGGCGGCGAGGCAGCGGCGAGCGCGGCGGAGAGGCGAGAGCGGCGGAGAGGCGAGCGCGGCGGCGAGGCAGAGGTGAGCGCGGCGGAGAGGCGAAAGCGGCGGAGAGGTGAGGAGGCGGCGGCGGAGGAGAGGCGAAAGCGGCGGAGAGGCGAGGCGGCGGCGGAGGAGAGGCGAGAGCGGCGGCGGCAGAGAGGCGAGCGCGGCGGCGGCGGAGGCGAGCGCGGCGGAGAGGCGAGGCGGCGGCGGCGGAGAGGTGAGCTCACGCGAGGCGTTCCGGCCACCGGGGTGGGAGATTCCGACGACGACGAGGACTAGATCGTGTCGGTGTCGGAGTCGTACAGCTCCATGATCTCCGGTATGGTGATGCGGCGGTCGGGGTCGGGCTGGAGGCGAGAGCGGCGGCGAGGCAGAGGCGAGCGCGGCGGCGGGACAGGGCGGCACAGGGGCGGGCTTGAGCGGCGGCAGCGGTGCGGCTGGGTGGCGACTGGCGGCACGAGGCGAGGCGCGCGACTGACCGCCGCCTCGCCTCGCCTCCTCGGCCGCCCGTTGCCGGCCCTCGCGTGCCGACCGCCCGCGCTGCCGCCCGTCGCCGGACCTCGCGAGCCGACCGCCCGCGCCGCCGTCTGTCGCCGGCCCTCGCGAGCCGACCGCCCGCACCGCCGCCCGTCGGGGTCGACGCCGTGGCCGTCTCCTCCTTCGTCGGCTCCATGTCCGCTGCAGATCGATCGAACGACGACGACGTCGCCTCGGCCTGGGCCCTGACGACGAGCGCGACAGCACGCCGGCGAGTCGGGAAGCCAACCGCGGCGCGGCCAGCAGCACGCGCTCGCCACCGCTCCCCCCTGCCCCCGCCCCCGACCCCGCGCCGCCCCGACCCCGCGCCGCCGCGCCGACACGACGTTCTTGATTTGGTTCGGCCGCCGCACCGACACGACAAGTGGGCTCGCCGCCGCCGCCTCTTCCGCCGCCACCGCCGCCTATTCTGTCGCCTGCCTCAGTGCGCCAAGGAGCGAGAGAGAGAGGGGAAGGGGTGAAGAGAAGGGGAGAAGAAAAGGGATTGGGCTGACAAGTGGGTCCCATATTTTATTTTATCTATTTTGGCTGACTAGACTGCCACGTATGCGTCCACGTAGGACCAAAACCGCCCTGAATCGATCTAGGGAACTAATTCATCCGGTTTACAAAGTTTAGGGTCAAAAATAACTGGTATTGAAGTTTAGGGTGGTAAATCGGACAACCGCAATTGTTCACGAGTGCAATTCGTACTTTTTCCTACAATTAAACAGCTACATGTCCCTCTATAGAATATAAATAAATAAATAATGTAATTAACTAACAGTGCAAACTATTTCAAATAACAACACCTAAAAAAGATTCTTCGTTTTAAATCGTTATAGTTATGATTCGGTTACTTTTTTTTAGTTTTGAACCTTTTGAAGTTTTAATTTAAAAATAAAATCTCCAAAGTTATTTCTAAAAGTAAACCTTAAGCTGGTGTGGCAAGAGTTTCGCCACGTCAGACATGATGGTGTGGACAAAAGTTTCAGATTTAAAAATAAAATTTGAGAGATTTCATTTTATATATTAAAAATTAAAAAGGTTTAGAAGATAATAAAAGTTCTAATTCAGTGTCTTTGAAACAAAAGAATAAACATATTCTCTCCGTTTTATTCAGGTAGGAATTTGCTCGGTGTACAATTAGTACATTAATTTTTAGACTGATAAGTTGAATCATAATATCAGTATGCAATTACACTAAATTTGATTTTTCTTATTTTTGTTTTAAGGCCAACTTAAACACAAAGATATAAAACACCCGATTGTCCAGTTGCAAAACCGCATCTTCGCCATCCAGATTACTTGGAGCTCCACACTGAAACGACGTCATCCAACCCGCGGGGTCTTTGCACGAGCCGTCGCCTCCATTATATATTTTGTACACACCTACAGTTGCAAACAATAGCAGCCCAAGCATCCTGCGCGACACAGCAATGGCAGATGATTACTTCTACCTCGGCTTGGCTCTCGCGTCGTTGCTCGTCGTGCTGTTCGCCAGGCGCAGGCGCTCGGCGGCGCATGGCGACGGCGGGCTGCGGCTGCCGCCAGGGCCGTGGCAGCTGCCGGTCATCGGCAGCCTGCACCACCTCGCCGGCAAGCTCCCGCACCGCGCGATGCGCGACCTGGCGCGCCGCCACGGGCCGGTCATGATGCTCCGGCTCGGCGAGGTGCCCACGCTGGTGGTGTCGTCGCGGGACGCGGCGCGGGAGGTGATGCGGGCGCACGACGCGGCGTTCGCGTCGCGGCCGCTGAGCGCCACCGTGCGCGTGCTCACCAGCGGCGGCCGCGGCATCATCTTCGCGCCGTACGGGGGCAGCTGGCGCCAGCTCCGGAAGATCGCCGTCACGGAGCTCCTCACCGCGCGCCGCGTCGCCTCCTTCCGCGCCATCCGTGAGGAGGAGGTGGCCGCCATGCTGCGGGCGGTGGCCGCGGCGGCCGCGGCCGGGCGCGCCGTGGAGCTGCGGGCGGCGCTGTCCGCGCTCGTGGCCGAGACCACGGTGCGCGCCGTGATTGGCGACCGGTGCAAGGACCGCGACGTGTTCCTCCGCAAGCTGCAGCGCACCATCGAGCTGTCGGCCGGGTTCAACCCGGCGGACCTGTGGCCGTCGTCGCGCCTCGCCGGCCGCCTCGGCGGCGCCGTGCGGGAGGCCGAGGAGTGCCACGACACCGTGTACGGCATCCTCGACGGCATCATCCAGGAGCACATGGAGAGGACGAGTAGCGGCAGCTGCGGCGCCGGTGACGGCGACGGCGACGGCGAGGACCTTCTGGACGTGCTGCTGAGGATACAGAAGGAGGGCGGGCTGGAGTTCCCGGTCGACATGCTCGCCATCAAACAAGTCATCTTTGTAAGTAACTATCAGCAGTAATATTCATCTATAGCCTCTTATTCAAAATTTGATATATTTAAAGTTGATATCATTCGTATTATTCACAGTAATTTGGAAACACAAAAAATTATAAGTTAGTATGTTTAAAAATCTTTAATGATAAATTAAATCACAGTAAAATAAATGATAATTACGTAAATTTCTAAATAATTAAGACGAACGGTAAATATATTCTAAAAAGTCAACAATGTTATATACTCCCTCCTTCCAAAAGTTTAAGACCTATTTTCATTCTATTTTCATTCTTTGGGTTTTCCAAAAAATCTAAGTCTTATTTGTAGTCATTATGTGCTAAATTAAATTATTGATGAGAATCCAAGAAGCTATTTTAGTACTTATTAATTGGTTGCATATTCATTGGTTTTGTCACATGGTGAATGAGTTAATGACTTCTTAGTCTTGGTGAAAAAAGAAATAGTACTTAGAATTTTGGATGGAGCTAGTATTAAGAACTATAGAGTGTCATTTTACTTTCATAAAGCGACCCGTTCTCCTGAGACTTTTTTTTTTCACTTAGAGCTTAGAGAACTCAACAACTAGTTGTAGTCGGACAGACATGGAGAGAAAACAGGGGCACAAATGTCGTAATATTACTAAATGTTAATATAAATGTTAATAGAGCTATCCTGGAGCAAACAAAGACACGTTTGGAAGTATTTTCGGCATTATAGAAAAAATAGCAATGCGGACAATATTTTATTGTTTGCGAGGACAAATAGCAAGTGCGGATAATAAAAAGGGAACAAAATTCTACATATAGGAGATATGGTACATCATGGAACTCATTTTCAAATGGAATCTTTATCAACGGCAAATCGTCCACCAACTATCAGTAATATACTAATAACTGATCAACGTGGACACATTTTTTACCTTGAACTACTAAAACTGGTTAGAATATACTAACCTAAGAAACGGTCAAATATCACTCCAAGGCAACCCAATCATTTTTGAAAACTGTTATTTTTTAGTTCACAATTTTTATATACTTGCACAGAAGTACAGAACCCAGTTAGAAAAAATGGTATATCAAAAATTAAAAGCATTTGCAATGTTAGTAAAAATCGTGTTGTTAGAATATCAAAAGCATGAGACTACAAATAAAACCTGGATGATTTATCTTGGAGAGATGTTTGAACTGGTTTTGATATTGAAGATTGCAAAATTAATGCCCCTTTAGTTTTATAGTTAAGATTTTTTTTGGATTATGAATTTATGATGTCCTAATAGAGGTGCCTTCGAGTTATCTGGACAAATAACACCTCTAACCGTACAAGCAAGTACAAATAACTAGATATTAGTATTATACAATTACTTTGCTACATGTATAGGTCAGAAGGGTTATATAATGTTTACAAAGAAAAGAAATATAGATACAACATATGTGGAGGGGCAACCTTTCTCCTTCATTCTCTTCTTCAAGCGTACGATTCTCCTCTCTACTTCTAGATCTATTTATATAATGTGCACTTTTCATTTTTTTTGACTTGACACTTTTCATACATTTAGTGATGTATTAGTGTATACCCTGGACGACTGGTTTCTAAAAATAGCATCGTGCACATCAGCTGCTACACAGTGCAAAGTTTAATTAGGAACATGCATGCATGATTGGTTACCAATAAGGGAATAAGAGTCGTACCTTCTTTAATTTTTTTTTGAGAACGGGAGTCGTACCTTCGGCTTCCAGAAGTAATAAAAAAAACCCGATCCGATCTTTGCATTGCCGCTTGCATATGGCTTTAATTTGGCTATTCCCTCCGTACTATAAATTATTGGATTGGATATATTCTATCAAACTTGATAATAATTGACATCATTAGTTTGAAGTGTTTTCAACCTAACTATGTGAAAAGTGAAAAAAAAATAAAAAACATATTGGGACGTACAGTAAATTTTAATGTATCCATCATACCAAAAATTTCACTTGAAAATATGACACTTATAGAGAGAGAAAAACATAGGGATAAGAAAGTGAACCGTTTCCAGAATCCGGGCTATAAAATGAGCTAAAAAAAATGTAGGCCTTCATGTGCTCTGGTGAAATAGTTCAGGAGAGTAAAATATTTTTTTCTCAAAATACAAATGTTAAAACAGAGTTTATATTTTAAGTTAGAAAATAGTACGAATTACTCCCCGGAACTATCGCAGTCGACCGAATTATCCCCTGCACCTAAAAACCAGGTATTGCTCAACCTAAGCATTTTATTTATAAAAAAAAAGAGACCCACCTGTCCTCTCTCTCTCAAGCACAAGATGCGCCGTCGCGGACGGCGGCTGCCAGCGCCACAAAAGGGGGAGGAGATGGAGATGGGAAGACGAGGGAGGAAGGAGAATGGGAGGGAGATCTAAGGGGAAGACAAGGTGGCCCCTGCTGCGCCTACGCCTCTGGCCGTCACATGCCTCTTTGCCATGACCCCGCCTTGATGACGCCTCCGCTCGCCGTCCGCCTCTCCGCCACGCTCCAGCCTCGCCCGCCATGGCCACCGCCGTGCGCGCCGACCTCCCCCTGCCAACTCCATCTCCTCCTCTTCCCCATCCACCTCCAATCCCCCTCTCCCCTCCACATCCCGCGCGCGCCACTGTATGTGCGCACCGCCCGCCCGCCTTCGCGCGTTGCTGTGCATGCCGACCGATGACGCACCCCAGCGCGCCGCCGCCCACTGCCCATCCCTGCGCCGCCATGTGCCCTTGTGCCCGAGAGAAAGAGATAGAGGCGGTATGACAGGTGGGTCCCACATTTTTCTATATAAATATAGAGCTGACTGGATTGCCGCGCATACGCCACGTAGGACAAAACCACTTTGGATTGGATCGACGGGGTAATTCGTCCAGTTTGAAAGTTTAGGATAAGCAATGTCTGATTTTTGGGTTCAGAGGGATAATTCGGTCAACTACGATAGTTCAGCGGGTAATTCATACATTTTCCTTTTAAGTTATTTCACCTGTTTTACAATGTTGACCTTTTACCACTAAATAATGTGGATAAAAAAAGTTTTACCATAAATTATTTTGGTCGGATTTTTTTTGTCTCGTGCTAATCATTTCACACACCTACGCGCAAAAATGTACCATATGCAGGACATCTTCGGCGCCGGCAGCGAAACATCGGCGACGACACTTGAGTGGGTGATGGCGGAGCTGATCCGGAACCCGAAGGCCATGCGGAAGGCAACGGCCGAGGTGCGGCGTGCCTTCGCTGCGGACGGGGTGGTGTTGGAGAGCGCGCTCGGCAAGCTCCACTACATGCACCTCGTCATCCGAGAGACGTTCCGGCTACACACGCCGTTGCCGCTGCTGCTGCCGCGTGAGTGCCGGGAGCCGTGCCGGGTGCTCGGCTACGACGTGCCGCGCGGCACGCAGGTGCTGGTCAACGTCTGGGCAATCGGCCGCGACGAGCGGTACTGGCCCGGCGGCTCGCCCGAGGAGTTCCGGCCAGAGCGGTTCGAAGACGGAGAGGCGGCCGCGGCGGTGGATTTCAGGGGCGCCGACTTCGAGCTCCTGCCGTTTGGCGCTGGCCGGCGGATGTGCCCTGGGTTGGCGTTCGGGCTCGCCAACGTGGAGCTCGCGCTCGCTAGCCTGCTATTCCACTTCGACTGGGAGGCGCCCGACGTGGCCGACCCCGCTGAGTTTGACATGACTGAGGGATTTGGTATCACCGCCCGCCGGAAGGCCGACCTCCCGCTCCGCCCCACACTTCGTGTGCCCGTGCTCGTGTCTGGCGTCTAGCTGATGTTGCCGGCCGGCTCGGAGCGGTGATTAATATTATGTATGCTTGCCACCATACAGATCTAGTCCTTTATATGAGCTTGGCTCTACTCTCCTCTTCTCCCTAGCGCGTATCCCAAACTATTACACGATACGTCTTGTAATAGCTTTATATATAAAGTTTTTCTTTTCTAAAATTAAACAAATTCATTTGTAAGTTTATAACAGTTAATTATTCATATATTACTGGCATTTTGCGTGCCACCAAAAGCTCGTGCCATCCGACTTCGAATGAGCCATACCTAGTACAAATCAAACAAAGTTGGTTACTTAGGAGATGAACCAGTACAAATGAACTTGCGAACAGTAGCAGATGAACCTGATATTCTTCTCCAAATTATGCAGCAGAAAGGATTGATACCAATAAAACTAAAACTATTAAGGAGAGTTATCCAAGCAATTGCGTGACAAGAATTCTGACTAGATAGTCTCAGCTAATTAATATAGTAGAATGTGCTGTTTGTGGCTATTAATAGTACACGACTATTGCTCGGATTTTTAAACTAAGTGGTTTTTTCTGTAGTCATTGACATATTCCAATTTCTTTAACATATAATGGAAGCTTTATTAAACTTAGCTAATTATATAAAAGTGATACCACCGACTGAGAATACTCTCGACCTCTGCATAACCAAGATACACAAAACCAATTCCATTTTGGCTTTAATTAGTTATAGCACTTGACTCCTTGCATTAAACACGTAGCAACTCTTTTGCGGATTTCCAAACAAATCGTAACTTTTAAATATTTGTTAGAAATATTGACAATTCACCATAATATTTAATAAAAAAAGAGCGTAAACAATGACGACATTAACATAAATCATCATGACATAAACCAAAGTTTCTCAACAATAGTAAGCAAACTAGAGATATAAAGATTAGAAGATAGTATAAACAAGCATAGATTGGCACTGGGGTGGGGCAGGGGCAAGTTGGACAGGAAAAACCCTGCCCCTGCTCCCCTACGAGTTCACTCGGCCTTGGCACCAGTGAACAATGGGGTAAAATCAGTCCCCGCTCCCGAATCCTTCTGGGTTGCACTCCTACCAAATACTCGCACCCTCGAGCGGATACGTGATGCAAGCAGAGATAAGGAGAGGGTATGCGGGTCATGGCGCTGCATGTCTCTTCTCTATAGACTCACTGCCACGTGGAACTCCATAGGCATCAATGGCGGTGCACGGAACTCAATGGGAATCAATAGAGGTGGCACTACTATTGTGACCTCACCCTCACAACAAATTACCAAAATTGAATTTAACAATATCAAGAATTCAAACAATATTCTAATGATGAGAATTCAATAGTGAGCGCGTTTGACCTGTCTACCCCTGCAGTGGAAAAACATCAAACCACAAACACACAAAAAAGAAATCAAGCAAAGGTTGAGGGTGAAACATCACTACTAATCCATAGTACTAGATTGTATTGAAACAAAATAAATAGAGTTGCAACAGAAGGGATTAACAACATGTTAATTTGAAAGTTTTATTGCAGAATCCAAAATAATGTGAGCATCATTTAACACAACAAGAGGATTCAACATCCTATAAATCCGTGAGAGCAATGATTAGTTAAATTTGTAAGGTTCCAAATGAGCTATGAAACACTTGAAAATATTTGTCCCAAAAACTTGCAACAAACTGTTGCAAAAATCCCATATATTTTGAAGGTGATGACCTTGGGCATGTTCCGCAGCTGTTCTTGCTTCAGCGGCTGTGGCTGCGGGCATCCAAAATATATAGGTGCAAGCTATAGAGCGACTTTCAATAACCGATCATGGCCGTTTTCTATTTCTTCAACCTACTTCACTTGTCAGGTCAATTGGAGGAATTTAAAATCGAAATACGACATATAAATCGATGAGGACATATAAAATCAATGAGATAGTACATCAGATGAGGTCGGTATGCTACTCCCATAAGTCATGTATATTCAAGGGAGTGTATAGATTTGAGGCACATAGAATTTTTCGAAAATTTTAGTTACTTTTGTCACCCATTGTATTATAATATAATGGTTCCCATTACTCTTTTGTTATTTATTTAACAAATTATAGTCCCTTCTTTAGAAGGTTGAACAATTTTTTTTAAAAAAAATACATCGCAGAGAAATTCAAATTTAGATAAAAATAAAGTAAAATCACATATAACAAAATATTTAGAGTTGAAATTTCACATTGCATAGCACTATGATTTTAGTTTTAGCAATGTGTGTAATTTTAGATGACTGAAAATTTATAAATTTTTATGAGCCTGAAATCTAGTAAATCCCATATTTCAAATATAAATGACTGGATGGAGTAATACATACTTTTAGACCCAGTTTTAATATATATTGCCGCCATCAATAATGTTGAATATTCGTCCATTCTTATCATAAAGCTCCATTTTATCCTATTTATTTTTCCGTACTGAATTTTACATTTATTAATTTAATGATTTAATGTAACAAAGTCAATTTGATTTCATCAAAGGGCATTTTCATGTGGCACGTATACTTGCATGTGTGATTCATCCATACTAATTTATATTAGTCTACCCAATCGTCTTGGAACAGCTCTGATCATGATATGGACGCCTTCGTGCATCCAAGATAATATTGTTTTGTTCTAGATAATCTTGTTTTATCTAAGATTAGACAGTTATGAGGTATATAAATATAGCTTCGAGCCAAAGTGCATGTAATAGTTACACTACCTTCTGGTCATGGGTTCGATTTCTTATAGGAACGAATTTCATATCTAATTAAAATTTTACAAGCTAGTCCCTTGTAAAATTACATGTTAAGAATCGATATACGAAGGACCTATTCTCGTGTAGGGGTGGAGGCCTTAAAACACAAGTCAAGGACCAATCTATAGCTATAGGGGTGAGCCCGTGTGTGGGGGTCAGAATTCGTGGCCTTTCTCGACAGATTTGGTTGAGGCTTTTTTCTTAATAAAAAGTTGTGATGTGTTCTTTTGCCCGTATGTTGAGATTATAAAACATTCGATAATTTTTTTTTGAAAAAAATTGAAATAAAGTTATACTATAGATAGAGTGTAATTATAATGTAATGCACATAACTTACATGTAACAAGTACATTTAGAAAAAAAAAGGTGATTTGTGGTTGTGTTGGCTTGCGTGGTCGCTGCTTCCGCGTTAAGGATCAGGGGTTCGAGTCCCGTCTCATGCATGCTTAGGCCCCGGTCAGCACAACTTTAGCTTCCAACTCCAATTTATCTAGAACTGAAACTGTGCCAAACGATACAGATTCTTCGTTTTTCGAGTCCGTCTCATGCATGCTTAGGCCGCGGCCGGCGCCGTGTCAGAGGACGCGCTCGGCGAGCTCCGGTACCTGCAACTCGTCATCCGTGAGACGCTCCGGCTACACCCTCCGCTGCCGCTGCTGCTGCCACGCGAGTGCACGATCGGTCGCGACGAGCGGTACTGGCCCGGCGGCTCGCCGGAGGAGTTCCGGCCGGAGCGGTTCGACGACGGTGAGGCGACCGCCGCGGTGGACTTCAGGGGCGCCGACTTCGAGCTCCTGCCGTTCGGCGGCGGCCGGCGGATGTGCCCCGGGATGGCGTTCGGGCTTGCCAACGTGGAGCTCCCTCTCTCCAGCCTGCTCTTCCACTTCGACTGGGAGGTGCCTGGCATGGCCGACCCGACCAAGCTCGACATGACTGAGGCGTTCGGTATCACTTCACGCCGGAAGGAGAATCTCCATCTCCGGCCACTCCTCCGCGTGTCTGTGCCCGGCGTCTAGCTGGCTTCGCTGGACGACGACGGCCTTCTCTATGTTGCCACGACACACATCTAGTCTAGAGTACTCTCTCCATACGTTTGGATAGCTCAAAATTCAACTGACCACCGTCAAACATTTATGGAGGTATATGGAAGTGTTTCCTTTTTCCTTAAGGGTACATTCTCTTGTTTTATGCTTGACAATCAAAATGTTATCAAAAAATTTTAAATACTTTATAAGATAGGTTAATATACGGTATATCTTTTTATAAATATGCGAGTTAAAATTTGATTTATATAATTAAAAAAACAAATTTGGCAGTGAATTACATGTTCTTTTCATAGTTAAATTTGTTATTTTTATTTCTACCTGTATAAGTTGAATTTAAATTTATATGTTTGCGAAGCATTATAGATCGAGGACCCCGAGTCCCCCAAGCTATTTCGAGCGATAAAGCCATTCCTAATTCACTTCACATTTTCCTCCTGATAAGTTCTCTCCCCTAGCCCAAAGGAATTTTCTCCTGAGCTTGTCTAGCGCCTCTAACACCGCTTTGGAAACCTGATGGAGGTGAGATGGTAGATGGGTTGCGAGATTAGCACCACCTTTAGGCCTGGTTTAGTTTCCAAAATTTTTTCTCAACAACGTCACATCGAATTTTTGACACACACATGGAGCATTAAATATAGATAAAAACAAAAATAGTGCATAGTTTGCATGGAAATCGTGAAACGAATCTTTTTAGCCTAATTAGTCTATGATTAGCCATAAGTGCTACAGTAATCCACATGTGCTAATGACGGCTTAATTAGGTTCGAAAGATTTGTCTCGCGGTTTCCAGCCGAGTTATGAAATTAGTTTTTTTTATTCGTATCCAAAAACCTCTTTTGACATCCGGTCAAACATTTGATGTGGCATCCAAAAATTCTCATTTCATGAACTAAACAGGGCCTTACAAGGGCGGATCTACCGGCTTGATTCAGAAGCTTTCCTTGCCAATGTGTCAGCCTTGTCGATACCTTGTTCACTAGGGGGAAACTGAAACTTACTCCCTTCGTCTCAAAAAAACTCAACCTAAGAGGGAATGAGATTCGTTGTCTTTAGAGTGGTCTGGTCATATCCTCTTTTAGATTAAGTTATTTTGAGACGGGGGAGTAGCTTTGAAGGAGCTAATGGTAGCCTGAGATAAGTCAGCGGGAAGGTTGTTATTAATTGTTGCCATGAGGTGCACGAGCATGCTGTTGAGGTCGAGGGACCGACATCGAATTGTGTATTCGTTCATTCTTAACGGAAGACGATAAACCTTACCCTATTTAATTTTCCCTACTGAATTTTATCCTTATTAATTTAATTTAACAAAGTCAACTTGATTTCCTCAATGGGCATTTTTATGTCGCATATATGCTTGCGTGCGCGCTTCATGCATGTCAATAACTTAGTATACCATACTAATCTATGTAATGAACCCAATCGTCTTGGAACAGCTCTCGCCATGGACGCCTTCGTGCATACAAGATAATCTTGTTTTTGTTCTTGATAATCTTGTTTTATCCAAGATTAGATAGTACTACTAGTAATGAGGTAGTATATAAATGTCGTCTCGATATGTACACCCACACTGCCACATAAATCCTTTGCGAAAGGAAAGGGAAATGGAAGACGCGTCTCATGGCTACGTCTACGTCGGCTTGGCTCTCGTGTCGCTGTTCGTCGTGCTGCTCGCCAGGCGCAGGCGCTCGCCGCCGCCGGCAGCGCATGGCGACGGCGGGCTACGGCTGCCGCCGGGGCCATGGACGCTGCCGATCATAGGTAGCCTGCACCACCTCGTGGGGCAGATCCCGCACCGCGCGATGCGTGACCTGGCTCGTCGCCACGGGCCCGTCATGCTGCTCCGGATCGGCGAGGTGCCCACGCTCGTCGTGTCGTCCAGGGACGCGGCGCGCGAGGTGACGAAGACCCACGACACGGCGTTCGCGATGCGGCCGCTGAGCGCCACCCTGCGCGTGCTCACCAACGGCGGCCGGGACCTCGTCTTCGCGCCGTACGGGGACTACTGGCGCCAGGTCCGGAAGATCGCCGTCACCGAGCTCCTCACCGCGCGCCGCGTCCACTCCTTCCGCTCCATCCGCGAGGAGGAGGTCGCCGCCCTGCTGCGCGCGGTCGCCGTGGCCGCGGGCACCGTGGAGATGCGCGCCGCGCTCTCCGCGCTCGTGAGTGACATCACGGCGCGCACCGTGTTCGACAACCGGTGCAAGGACCGCGGGGAGTTTCTCGTCCTGCTCGAGCGCACCATCGAGTTCGCGGGAGGGTTTAACCCGGCCGACCTGTGGCCGTCGTTGTTGGCTCAGCCCAGGAACACTCTCACACTCACGAACACAAACGCCGGTGAGGGAGACGATGAACAATGGATTTTACAGCGACGAACGCCGCGGAGCCGATCGCTCCTGTATCTTGGCTTTATTACTCACTGAACCTTGCAAAGAAACAACGAAGGAGTACAGGGGCCTCTTATAGACCGGTGACACACCGGGAGCTAGCCTCCATGCCGGCCATTGCGCCACGTTCCGCAGAACCCGCTCGACGTCGCCGTGAGCCACACGCTCGCCCGGACGACGCGGCTTCCTCCGCAAGAACTGACGCCACGCACACCATGCACACCCACGACTCGATCAACACTGCAACGGCCATGCAAACAACCATGCAGCAGCCATGCACTCGTGATCACGACTCAACCAAACTAACAGAACGCATACGACGCACACATGCAGCAGCACGACACACACACACTGACTCAACCACGCCAGGAATACACCATGACGTGTTTATTTCCAACAGTCGTCGCGTCTCGCCGGTCGGCTGAGCAGTGTCGTACGCCGCGCCGAGGAGTGCCGCAACTCGGTGTACAAAATCCTCGACGGCATCATCCAGGAACACCAAGAGAGAACTAGCGCCGGCGGCGAGGACCTCGTCGATGTTCTGCTAAGGATACAGAAGGAGGGTGGGCTCCAGTTCCCGCTCGCCATGGACGACATCAAATCCATCATCTTTGTAAGTGATGTGGTGTGATCATTGTATTCCTCGAGAGTATTTTTGACGATGATGTCGCGTGCACGCAGGACATCTTCAGCGCCGGCAGCGAGACGTCGGCGACGACATTGGCGTGGGCGATGGCGGAGCTGATCCGGAACCCGACGGCCATGCACAAGGTGATGGCTGAGGTTCGCCGTGCCTTCGCCGCGGCCGGCGCCGTGTCAGAGGACGCGCTCGGCGAGCTCCGGTACCTGCAACTCGTCATCCGTGAGACGCTCCGGCTACACCCTCCGCTGCCGCTGCTGCTGCCACGCGAGTGCCGGGAGCCGTGCCGGGTGCTCGGCTACGACGTGACGCGCGGCACGCAGGTGCTGGTCAACGCCTGGGCGATCGGCCTCGACGAGCGGTACTGGCCCGGCGGCTCGCCGGAGGAGTTCCGGCCGGAGCGGTTCGAGGACGGTGAGGCGACGGCGGCGGTGGACTTCAGGGGAACCGACTTCGAGTTCCTGCCGTTTGGTGCTGGGCGGCGAATGTGCCCAGGGATGGCGTTCGGGCTCGCCAACGTGGAGCTCCCTCTCGCCAGCTTGCTTTTCCACTTTGATTGGGAGGTGCCCGGCTTGGCCGACCCGGCCAAGCTCGACATGACAGAAGCGTTCGGCATCACTGCACGGCGGAAGGCCGATCTCCATCTCCGCCCATGCCTCCTTGTGTCTGTGCCAGGCGTCTAGCGGACATACGTCCAACCAACTTGCTTTCGTTAGTACTCTCTCTATAATATATTACCTCCGTTTTTTTAAAGTAAATGAAACCATTGATTTTTTTTAAATGTTTGATGGTTCGTATTATTAAAGAAAATTATGTAAATATAATTTATTTTGTGAGTTGTTTTATCACACAGTATTTTAAGCATGATTTATATATTATATATTTGCATAAAAATTTTAAATAAGATGAATTGTTATGTGTTTAAAAGTTAACAGTGTCATCTATTGAAAAATAAAGGGAGTAGTTGCTATTATATATTGTAGTGGAACCATTAGATCCTGTTTGGTTAAATCCCAAAAGGGAGGGAATTTGCTCCAAACCGAACAAGTCATTAATCGTGTATTGAGCTTATGAGCGGTAGCAAATGAACATGTCATTAAATGGATGAATCTTGCCACATCACACGGAAGTGCCAATATATAGCGATAGGTTAAAAAAACTACATGTAGCAACGTGGCATCGTCTCGAGTTACTCTAAACGTTTTCTTTTTCTTCTCTTTCATTAATGTGGTTAACTATAATCTAATTTTCTTAGTAGGGGATTATCTTTAGCATATATATTATTCTACTAATAGGCCATGAGACAACGTGTTTTACTAAACTCCGGATTGACTGGTTGTCTTATGCAGATGTATGCTAGATATTCTCACTACGATTTCAAATTAGAACCAGAATGGTCAACCGATTTCAGGATGGTTACGGAAAATTTCACTCTCTTGGCTAATTGTACCATCCTTTCCTCTAGGTATTGAGATCTTTCGACAAGTTGTTCTTCCCTCGAAGAATTGTCACCAAAGATATTCTTCCATGCTTATTTTACATTAGGTGGGGGGGGGGGGCTCAAATTTGTAAAAGATTATGGGTTTGTGTTGAAAATTGTCCTTCTAGACCTTTTTCTCCATGCGTACCCCCGTACACGTGAGCTCTAGCAAAACAACCCTAGCTCTTCCTAACAACTAGTAGAATTGGTATTCACTTCTATATTCGGAAGTAGTTCATTAAGAGAATTATTCCTCGGGAACGAGGGCGACATTCCCTCTGCTCTGCTACCTATAGAGGTATAGATCGAGTTTTTATTTTCCAAAATGCTTCCTCCGGTCAGCAGAGGGTCCCTTTTCTTTTCACTTACTTCGACTTTGATCTGTCATTGGGTCTCACCACTTCCTTCCTCAAGGCGTATCAATAGTAGACCTAGCTTGTAGTCACTTGCATGCTTTTTACTTCTCTTCTCTGGTTCTTCTAATTTAGTTCCTCGATTGAGAGGAGTAAGAGCTTTTGAGAAGCATCCATAGATTGGTAGAGGTGGTGCATGACACAACATGAGGAAGAATCGATGGGAGGATAGACGAGAGAAGCAAGCCAGTAGGACGGTGGAATTCAAACCTGGTAAAGGATCTTTCCTTCTGTTGATTTGATAAAAATATCATTTTTCTTTTCATGTCTCTATAGTTTTTGATGAATGAGCATATGGTAATCCTTTTATCTCTATTTTATAGCGCAGGCTCCTAGTTGAATAGATTACTCAGAAATAACCTTAGAAGAAAAAGAAAGGAGGTTGCTACAATTGTGGCAAACCTGGGGCCACGATAAGAAAGAAGCAAGTGAAACAGCTAGAAGCACTTGCTTTGTGCACCCAACAATTCTTATTCACGGGAACCCAAAGATTTGATTCGAACTTCATAGAGCCGGTGCTCATATGGTTCATTCATGGGCTATGCTCTTTAAACAATTGACAGAAGTCGGGGGTGGGCAAAGAAGGGAACGAGCTAAATCCGAAAGATAGCCAAAAATAGAAAGGAGCCTGTTCGTGCAGCTAGCTGGGCTCACACGCCAACGTGCTCAAGAGCTTTTCCAGATGCATCAGGCATATGTGGGCTCTCCCCAAGGAATTGGGCTGCATGGGGGAATTTATAGGCCTTCCTATTTGAGGTCTTCAATAGATACTATGACTACTGTGATATGAGCAGTTCTATTGGTTTGATCTTTCCGGCACACTTGTACAAAGATGCATGAACTACGTAGGCTTGACTTGAGCATTTGTCAAGCTTGAGCCTAGGTAATCAAGCTCGTTTGAGCTCGATTCGTTGATAGCCCTAAATGGGTTTCACAAAAGAGATAGTCTTGAAGGTTGTATCTTCTCATTAGATTAGGTTTGCATAAGAAATTACACATGAGACATTGAGATATATGTATATCATAGGAAAAACATGAGAGCTCTTAGGAATTCCAAATGTGTCACAAAATTTCCACAAAGAAATTACAAGAAAAAGTTTAACATAACAATCACATCAAACAAGCAAAGCTTCCAAATACATTTCATGATAAGGTGCATATCAAAGTACGATTAGTGTAGGTGGAAATCTTATAAGAAGCCGCTTATGAAAATTTATTTTTCACATATAGCCTCAAGCTTCACCATAGGTGGTTGCACCTTTGAGTTGCCAGTCAAAAAGATTGCTTAAGTGTTGTACAAAAATCAGTGTGCTATGATGAGCTTATATTGTAGGCAAGGGTACGTGGACTACAGGAATAAGGACAAGGTCATGGAGCCGCCGCGTGGTGAATCGCATCTCCTCTGTCATGTCTAGGTTCTCAGCGTGTATCCCGCTCGGCAGTTCCCAGTTGAAATGGTACAGGAGGCTCGCTAATGTGAGCTCCACATTGGCTAGACCAAACGCCATGCCAGGGCACATCCTCCGACCTGCTCCAAATGGTGTGTACTCAAAATGTGTGCCTTTAAAGTCAACATCACTATGCTCAAACCTCTCTGGAATAAACTCTTCAGCTTCGTCCCAGTACTTGGGATCCCTACCAATAGCCGATACGTTAACAAACACCGTTGCTCCCTTGGGTATATCGTATCCTAGGACTTGGCACGTGCGTCGGCATTCCCGTGGTAGCAGCAATGATCCCGGTGGGTGTAGCCGGAGTGCCTCCTTGATGACCATATGCATGTAATTCAGTCTACATAGGGTATCTTCTGTCACTTTACGATGCCCGATGAGCTCTCGTCGTACTTCATCTTGTGCCTTCTGCATCACTTTCGGATTCCTCACGAGCTCCGCCATGATCCAATGCAGCGTCGTTGCTGCGGTCTCGCTGCCCCCAACCAACATGTCCTGTACACACATAACACGAAGCCAAATTCATTAGCGTTACTACCTCCGTTTCAAACCATAGGCCTATTCAGATTTATAACATTAGGATGTATCATATTCGGTTCTAGATTGCTATATATTGAGGCAAGTAGTATTACATTTCCTAGAAAGTGACGTGGTATTTCGTAGTTAAAAGGTCCTTACTCCAATTGTTGCCTTGATGCTTTCACTGGACAGGGGAAACTGCAGGTCGCCTTCCCTCTGGATCCTCAAGAGCACGTCGAGCAAGTCGTTGTCGTCGTCGGCGGCGGCTGATCTGTTCTCTTGGTGCTCCTGGATGATGGCGTCCAGGAACGCGACCATGTCCCGGTGATGCTGCTTCATCCGACGCGGCATTCGACTGAGGAGCATGGCGAGGCGCGACGACGGGTAGAGATCCGGCAGTGCAGGCTTGGCGAACAGCTTGAGGCCGCGCTCCAGCATCGCCAAGAACGCGTCGCGGTCCCTGAACCGATCGCCCATGATGGCGCGCACCGACGAGTCGGCGGCGTGCGCCGACAGCAGCTCGCTCAGGTTGACGGCCTGCCCCGGCGACGCCGCCGCCACCGCCCGGAGTAGGCGGCCGGCCTCCTCCTCGCGGACTGGTCGGAAGGACTGGACGCGCCGCCCGCTGAGCAGCTCGACGGTGCAGATCTTGCGGAGCTCCCTCCACCGGTCGCCGTACGGCGCGAAGATGATGCCCTCGCCGCCCTCCGGGAAGACGAGCCGCGCCATCCGGCTCATGGGCCGCGTGGCGAAGTCGAGGTCGCGCGTCTTCATCACTTCGCGCGCCGCCTCCGCGGAGGACGCGACGACGACGGGGAGCTCGCCGAGCCGGAGCAGCATGAGCGGGCCGTGGCGCCGCGCCAGGTCGCGCATGGCGACGTGCGGGAGCGCGCCCACCAGGTGGTGGAGGTGGCCGATCACCGGCAACCCCCACGGCGACGGAGGCAGCCGGACGTCGCCGCCGCGCCGGCGCGCGACGCGGTTGAAGTAGACGAAAGGCACGACGGCTAGAGGGACAAGGACGAGCACGTAGACCAGAAACGCCGCCATGGCTTAAACTGAAGGAGCTGCAGCCTGTCTGCTGGTATGTGTCAAATTTTCCAAGGTAATACTGATATATACTAGTGGTAATCATGTGATGACATCGTATCTACTACGAGTAATTATCTAGGAGAATTAGGAAATGACAACTGACAAGTCGTTGACCTACCATGAATCTGTGGGCTATGAGATACTGGCACTGACTTCACCTTTGAAAAAACAAGGCCGTTTCTTGCAGAAGGGATCACAGAGAGAGATTGTAGCCGCTATAGTTTGGAATATTCGGAGAATCCATCGTCATAGAATTTAGAAAATAAACTAGAAGCTAAGAATCTGGATTTTCTAGCTTTTTTTTTATACTTAGAAGCTGACGCCTAAGTTACAATCCAAATGAAAATGTGCTAACATATATAGGAATGTGAGATCACTGCAGTTGTCCCAAATGTTGATAAAAACTACTATCAAGAAAAGAATCAAATAGTGCGAGATTTAAAAGCCAATAAGCCATGAGCTCTCACTTCGCTTGTTCTGCTTCAGAAGATCAGACGCAGGGTTTTAGCACGAAGCCACGAAACAACTGAACATCGTACACTGAGATGCTGACTCCCAATGTTTTCAGGTTTTACTCCGAATATTAACTAGGGTGTTTTTGGACCTCAGATCTTTGCAGTTAATTTTCTCCAAATCAGAATTAATTTTCCCTCCACTGAACTCTGGTTTTTATCAGTTTCTGAGTAAGAAAAGAAACCGATGATGCTTTTACCCTTGCGTTTAGTGATGTTGAGAACCTTCTGTGTTCTACTTTAATCTATTTGTGTTTCTAGAGCCCATCTTTTTTTTTAGTTGACACGCCTATTGGTAACTTCAAGTTGACATTAGGCCTATTGAACTACAAATGTGATATTGACCTTGGAGTAAATTTGCGCAGATCTGATGACTGATGATTATCTATAAGTTCGAGTTCGACATGAATGACGTGGCCATCAAGTACGTAAGTTTCAGTATTGTCATTTGTTTTGGAGAAGACGTTTACTATTTCATCAGCTCAACGAATAATAAACCACTCCATGAGGCAAAACCTTATTAATAAAGCTTCAATGTACAATGTCATATAACAATTAAGAAATCAATATCTTAAAAAGAAAGAATTCAGATATGCGAATTAGACATCATTCTAAAGTAACATACCCTTCATCCCAAAATATAGTACTCCCTCCATTTTTTAATTGATGACGCTATTAACTTTTGAACACATGTTTGACCATTCGTCTTATTAAAAAAATTATGTAAATGCATAAGATATAAATCATACTTAAACTATTATTAGTGATAAAACAACACAACAAAATAAATTGTAATTACATAAAATTTTTAAATAAAACTAATGGTCAAACGTGTGCCCAAAAGTCAGCAGCAAAACGGATGTAGTACCTTACTACTGGATTAGACACAACCTAGCTATCACCACAAATATTGATATAAGATGTATTTCGAGATAAATGGAGTATATACTCCGGTAGCATTTATCCATGCCTTCTAATTTCTGTGGCTAAAGCACGCCTAAACCAAAAATTAGAATATCATCAGTTCATCACTAATCTGCGAAATCATAAGTGGAGCAACGAACGGCTCTTTTAGTTCGGTTGGTGCAGAACCATGGCTCCCGTTGCTCTGCTTTATCCTGTCGAGTAATCGCGTTCGCAGTTTACGGCCTTGTGTCGTGTAGGCCATTTATGGGGCTTGGATTCGTTTGCACACGTTGGAAATAGGTGGGCCCCTGGTGGGCCATTTATGGGCTCATTTTGCGTCATTTATTACAAGGCTTAGTATGGGCCTTTCGACTCATAGTTTCTTAGGAGAAGTCCATTTTGATTCCATCAACTATAAGCTGAATCTGTTTTGTATCCCTCAACTGTAAACAGGTAAATTGCATCTCTCCACTATTAATACCAGTTTAATTTGTCTCCCCAAGCAGTTTGGACATCGATCATGTCACGTGGTGCTTAAGTGGCACGTTGAACTAGTCTTTATCCTACGTGGGTATCATGAAAGCAAAAAAAGCAATGAAACCCACATGTAAATCCCGCATCTCATCTTCTTTCTTCCCTCTATCATCTCTTCCGCGGTGGCGACGGATGAGGTGTCCATCGGTCATGCCAGCATCCTCTATAGCAGATGCGTAGCCTGTCTTGCTCACCTCAGTGTCCCCTCTGTACAGTTTTGTCGTCATCGACGACTCCACCAACATGAAGATCTCCCATGTCGTCATGCTGCACCCCACCACGCCCGTTAGTTATCAGCGCTTTGGGCGGAGCCTAAATGGAGGCACAACAGTCTCTAGATCCTAGAAGGGGAGCTGGCAGTAGGGGCAAAAGATTGCGAGCTATTGTTGCTGCTTCTTTTCCGCAGTCATCCACCACGACGATGACGAGCAGCCACGGCTTTCTCAAGCCCCAAAGCATCCCCCACCTGCGCGCGTTTTCTCTCTCTCCCTAGCCTTTCCTCTCTCTACCTGAAGTTCAACTTGCCGCTTGCCGCTTGCCAAGGAGGAAGAGGGCAGCTAAATAAGAGGAAGAAAGGAGGGGTACTTCACTGACATGTGGATCCCGTTATATTTTTACTCTCTCTTTTTTCCTCAAGTACTAGCCCTAAAACCAGCCAGTCTAACCAAGGTTAGTGCGTCACGCCAGACAAAACCACCCTGAAAATAACCAAGGGAGTCATTTTGTATTGGTTTTAATACTTGGGGTCTGATATACCCAATGTTGTGGTTGAACGATACACATAAGATTCCGAAAATAGTTGAGAGGGTCAAAATAGACTTTTTCGTTTTTCAGTCCGGTGATGAGCAATAATTGCATGTGGTGATGAATCATGAACTGATGATGACCATCGTGTATACTGTGCAAGAGTGTTAGAAGAACCCAATAATTGTTAAAGGTTTTTATTATCAAAACTCAAGAAACTGCTAAAGCCACCTTTCCTTTTCATGAAGGTATATCCCCTCAAGTTGGTAAGGACCATGTGTGAATGTCCTTGTATGAAACTTTGGTTGTTTGACCTTCAATTAATGTGTTTTTTACTCCTTTGTTACCATTCTTTCTTGCATTGGTAATACTGTATAACCAAGAGTTATGGGAATCCTAACTAGAATTTAGGGTCTTAAAATTTTCATCCCTCCAAAAGATTGGTTAAAATTGGCTTTCTAAAACTAAAAGGTGCCCCCTAGAAAACTATCAACAAAAATTATCTAAGAGTGTATCAACAGAAATTTAAGGTGGGTGTTAGATGTCAATGGTGCTGTGGTAGATGCCATCGTCGGTGGCCTTGGCTTAGTCTGGGATGAGCTCGGCGATGCTCTGAAACCTGCACTGGTGGAGAAATCATCTTTACTCCTGGTTTATAACCCCTTGTAAATCCAGGACTAAAAATCGCTATCTTTAGTCCCGGGTGAAATAACGGGAGTAAAGATCGATCTTTAGTCCCGGTTGGTGTTTAGTCCTGGTTGGAGACTAAAGAGACGATAGAGGTAGTCCCGGTTGGTCCGTTTTCTTTTTATTTTCTCCCAAATCGAGTTGGATATATATACACAAATCAAAAACCAAATCCCCAAATCTGAGTGCCATGCATATACCCAAATCCCCAAATCAATGTAATATACCAAATCATTCACATCACAAATACAAATCCTAAATCTTACAAACCATCACAAATCTTAAACAAATTACACACAAACCAAATGCATCACAGATCGATTATACATCTCAGATCCATGCAATGAATCACAAATTTGTAATAAAAGAAATTATACATCTCTCAAATCACAAATTATTAAAAAAATGGAGAGAACCGGTGCCGCCGCTTGCCATGGCCGCGCGCGCTTCCCCGCCGGCAGCGTCGCCCGCCGCCCGCGCTGCTCGCCAGTTCTTCGGCCGTCGGATGCGAGGAGGAGAGGGGAGGAGGAGGAGGGGGAGGAGGAGGAAGGGAAGGAGAGGAAGGAGCTAGATCTGAGGAGGAGGAGGAGGAGGAGGAGGAGGAGGAGGATCTGATGAGGAGGAAGTAATGGTCTGGGACTTAACCGATCAGATGTGGGAGAGAAATATTTACTCCCGGTTGGAGTTTTCAAACGGGAGTAAATATTTTTTTGATCTTTACTTCCCGTTGGTGTAAAGTGGGACTAAAGTGGTGATCTTTAGTCCCGGTTGGTGACACCAACCGGGACTAAGGCCCTGTTTGTTTCAGCTTAGGATTATTATAATCTGGATTATTAGGAGTAAATTGAAATAAACATATAGCTTATTATGATAGATTATTACAATCTATAAGCCAAATTACTATAATCTAGTAATCCACTCTAATTGTGCTTTTTTTAGATTATTGGGTTGCTAACACCTAACAACCAGCTAATGATCCAGAGAAACAAAAAGCTAACAACTTATTCTATGTCGGCTTATTATAATTCAGCTTATAGTAATTTGTCTCAATAATATAGATTACAGTAATCTTAAGCTGAAACAAACAAGGCCTAAAGATCCTCGACCCCCTGATATGCCTCTGACAGGCTATGAACCATCTTTACTCCCGGTTGGTGTTACCAACCGGGACTAAAGATCAAAATTTTTATAACCAGGACTAAAAGCAACCTTTTGTTCTGTTTCTTTTTGGAACCGGGACTATTGTTGATTTTGCCAGACCGACCAAAGATGGTTTAGAACCTAGAGGTTGAGAGGTATCCGTCGATGAGCTTGGCCACTGTTCTAACTGCATGAGCTCGCTTGATGCATGCGTCGACCAGCTGGGCTTCGTCGACGTTTATCTCCGGCGTCCGGCGAGGCGGCGAACAGTCACCAACATGTTCGGCGTCGATCGATGAACTGCTCCAGCATCTGCTCCATGTATGCAGTCCACGTTGTTGAGCATCTCCACAAAGTTGCCGATCGATGTTGGGGATCAGGAGGTCCTCAAGCGTCGTCTCAGCACGCGCCACGCCACGCCACACCAGCGTGCAGGATCATGTCGGTGCGGCGAAGTCCAAGCACGCATGAACCTTGTCGTGGCGATGCCCCTCTCGACTGGGAGCAGTGTGACGATCTCCTTCACGAGAAAAACCCTCTGCTTGCACGTCCAAGAGCTTGGCTCCCGACTCGCCGCGGTGGCCGTGCGCCGCCACGCCGATGTTACCGAAGATGAGCCGCACGGGAATATTTCACCAAGCACTCACAGAAAAGCGGTGTGTGGTGGATTGGGAGCAAAATCTCTTCCCTATAAGAAGTGGAAAACGAATCATCCGGATTTGGGAGTTTGATCGGTTGGGAGTGCAGGTAGGGAGTCTATTGGAATTGGTTTTTGAAAAAAAAGGATTCTCAAATTCTCTCATAGGGAATGATATGGAAACTCTTGGTGATGCTCAATGTCCTATCTCTATTCTCTTCCTTATCTCTATTCTCTTCATATTCCTAGATTTTCCTTTTCTTTTAGAAAAAGACAAGTTTATTTTTTATTTTAATCTCCTTTTCAAAGAAGTTTACTGCTAGACTTTAAACTTTTAAATAAACCGAACCATACAGATACACGAGCTATCCAACTAGTCGTATTATACACGAATAGATCGTTATTCATCTGTTGGAAGTTTTCTTGAGGGCAAAACATTCAAATTTTGGATCGTTGGATTTGCTTTGAGATTCGTGCAAATAGGAGGCAAGGTTGGGAAAAATAATGCTAAGTGTTGGGACATGGACCACAGGAACAAGTAAAAGTTGGTCTGGCGCAGTATAACCGAACACTTCAGGCCCCTAATTTTCTGTCCGGTCCGATGATGAGTCTAAAGTGTTCGGTTATATAAAGACTTGCTAACACTATCTCAATAATATACCTTGTATGGGCCTTCGTTTATTTGTGAACAGTTGCATGTGGTGATGAACTGATGACCAACATTTATCTTGTCTCAGAGTGGCACAAGATACCAATAATTGTTCAAATTTTTTAATACCACAACCCCATAATAAGCTGCTAAAATCATCTTTCTTTTTCAGGGAGGTATCCCCTCAAGTTGCTAATTAAGGACAATGTGTGGATGTCCTTGTATGAAACTTTGGTTGTTTGACCTTTTCAATTAAGGCAGTCCAAGTATTTTTAATGTTTTATATTCATTGGTTGCTATACCCATACTTTCTTACTTTCTTGTACTGGTATGTTGGCCTATCCCATGTGTTGAGCCTTCTCTTTCATATTACTAGATCCCCCCTCTCTCTCACACACACAAAATAACTCTATTTTTCGACTTCAAATCTTTTTTTCAAAGAAGTTCGCCGTTGGACTTTAAACTTTTAATTAAATCGAGCCATACAAGTACAGGAGCTATCCCAACTAGTAGTTGTATACACCACTATGATGAGGCTACTGGCAATGGAACATGGACCACAGGAACAAGTAAAAGGTCATGGAGCCGTCGGGCACTAACCACCATCTCCTCCGTCATGTCTAGATCCGCAGTATCCATCCCATCTGGCAATTGCCAGTTGAAATGGTATAGGAGGCTTGCGAGCATAAGCTCTACATTTGCCAGACCAAATGCGATGCCAGGGCACATTCTTCGTCCTGCCCCGAATGGTGTGTACTCAAAGTTTGTCCCCTTGAAATCAATGTTGCTATCCTCAAACCTCTCAGGGATAAATTCCTCGGGTTCATCCCAATACTGAGGGTCCCTGCTAATCGCCCACGCGTTCACAAGCACCATTGCTCCTTTGGGCACATCGAATCCTAAGACTTGGCAGGTGTTTCTACACTCCCGTGGCAGTAGTAGAGGCACAGGAGGATGCAGCCGCAACGCCTCCTTGATGACAAGGTGCATGTAGTTCAAGTTGCTTATTGCATCTTCAGTTACTCTGTCACGACCGGCAAGTGTTTGTCGTACCTCATCTTGTACCTTGTGCATCACTCTTGGGTTTCTTATGAGCTCGGCCATGATCCATTGCAACGCCGTCCCCGCAGTCTCGCTGCCTCCCGCAAACATGTCCTGTACAAATAATAGGAAGTAAAATTCATTAGTGTTAAATGTGACAAAGTAATATCATACTTCCTCCGTTTCACAATGTAAGTCGTTCTAGCATTTTCCATATTCATATTGATGTTAATAAATTTAAACATATAAATCTATCTAGATTAATTAGTGTTACATGTGACAAAGTAATATCATAATTCTTAGGGTGCCTCGTTTGACTTAGATTATTGAGCATATTGTTAACGCGGATTATCTAGTTAATTATATGAATGAATTAAATATTTTAATAAATTAGCTTAACCAATAATTTAAAACAAGTTTTTATTGTAGTGAAAAAAATGTTTTTTCAAGATAAAATATTTTGTAAAAAATATGGAGTATGATTTGGTAAATAAGCTAGAAAGAACACTAAAACACGGCCTAATTAAAGTGCTTACTCCAACCGTTGTCTTGATTCTTTCAGTGGACAGAGGGAACTGCAGGTCACCTTCCCTCTGGATCCTCAGGAGCACGTCGAGCAAGTCCTCCTTGTCGTCGCCGTCGCCGTCGCCGGCGCCGGCGGCTCGGTTCTCTTGGTGTTCCCGGATGATGGCGTCCGTGAACGCGTACGCCTCCCGCCGGTGCTGCATCATCCGCCGCGGCATGCGGCTGAGCCACATGGCGAGGCGCGACGACGGGTAGAGGTCCGGCAAGGTGTGCCTGGCGAACAGCTTGAGCCCTCGCTCCAGGAGCATCAGGTACTTGTCCCTGTCCTTGAACCGGCTCCCGATGATGGCGTGCACCGCCGAGTCGGCGGCGTACGCCGACAGCAGCGCGCTCAGGTTCACGGCGGCCTGCGCCGGCGACGGCGACGACGACGTCGCCGCCACGGCGCGGAGCAGGCGGCCGACCTCCTCCTCGCGGACGGCGCGGAAGGACTGGACGCGTCGCGCGCTGAGCAGCTCGACGGTGCAGACCTTGCGGAGCTCCCGCCACTCGTCGCCGTAGGGCGCGAAGATGATCCCCTCGGTGCCCGCGGGGAAGACGAGCCGCGTCATCCGGCTCATGGGTCGCGTGGCGAACTCGATGTCGCGCGTCCTCATCACCTCGCGCGCCGCCTCCGCGGAGGACGCCACCACGACGGGGAGCTCGCCGAGGCGGAGCAGCATGAGCGGGCCGTGGCGCCGCGCCAGGTCGCGCATGGCGTGGTGCGGGAGCGCGCCCGCCAGGTGGTGCAGGTGCCCGATCACCGGCAGCCCCCACGGCGACGGCGGCAGCCGCCCGCCCTCGCCGCGCCGGCGCGCCACCCAGCCGAAGTAGACGAGAGGCACGATGGCAAGGAGAGCAACGACGAGCAGGTAGGCCAGAACAGACGACGCCGCCGCCGCCATGGCTATGGCTTTTGCTCCTTTGGACTATCGAATGGGTGGATTGAACTGAAGGAGCTCAGAAGCTGTGCCGATAAGAAAGTGTTTGTCCAAATGTCCAAAGTGATACTGACATCTACTAGTGGTAGCCATGTGATGACCTGATCAAATCTAAGCTCTTTTAGATAATGGATTAAATCTAACTATCTATATTATTTTGTCTAATACTAGTCTATTATATCTGACAATTCATTGGCCAGCCAAGCAGCCAGACACAACAGTGAGATAGGATGCCAACATTCCAGAACATGGCACAGTGAAATCACTGCAGCTGTGCCAAATGTTGACAAAATTTTCGAGGGTGGAAAGAAATGGGAGGAGAATGGATATATCTGACCCGTGAGTGTGCAGGAAGGTGAAGCCCATGAGCAAATGAGTTCTTTCATGTTGACATTCAGACGACGTTAATTCTGGGCCGTTGACAAGGTTTTAGCATACTACACTGAAAGGGCCGTGTGTGAACATAGAGACCGGATTTCTTTTCGTTATCATAAAAAATACTTTTCTTTTTTATTCTTCATATTACTTGTTATTTTAGTAGGAGTATTTAATTTCATATCAAGATACTTATCGTTCTCATATTGCAAAGCAGCATTTTTATCGGCATGTACTAGTGTTAGTCATGTGGTGACCAAATCAAATCTAAGCATCTATATTATCTTAACTAATTATCTGTTTATCTGAAAAGTTATAGCCCAGCCAAACAGAGTGTCCTACTGCCCTGAGGTTGTGGAGCTGATACTCATTTGGCCTCTGCAAAACAAAACAAAAACAAAAATAAAAACATTTTGTGTGGAGACACTGAGACAGGATGTCGAAATTCCAAAACATGGCACGGTGAAATCACCGCTGCTCTGCCAAATGTTGACAAGAAGTTTTTGAGGGGGGGATGAAACGGGAGGAGAATGGATGCATACGACGTGTGAGTATCCAGGAAGGTGAGCAGATGAGCTCTCGCTTTGCATGTTCTCATTCAGTCGTTGCTAATTCAGCATAGGCATAGTTGTTTTTTTGGACTTCAGATCATTTGCAGTTTGTTCATTGTTGTAAGTTGGTTCTAATAATCTGAATTCTGATCTTGATAAGTTTCTAAGCAGGGACAAAAATTGTCTGAACATGTTGAAAAATATTGTCTGAACAGGTTGGAAAACATCACTGTCAAGATACCATTGGAGATCACTCGCAGATACATTTCATGAACGACATTGAATGTTTGTTCAAAGCTTAGCCTATCTACTTACTGCTGCTCGAACAAACTAAAAGTCAAACAAAACATATATATGATCATTATTGGGGCTGATTAATTTGACATTTGGACAAAGGACAGCGAGACACTGATCGATATGAATAACGGTCAACTGAAATGTGGATGGCTAATTAACCCACGATGGGGACACGCACAACTGGAACTACCAACAGGTCGGCTTTTCGCCGTGCGGTAACCGCCAGAGTTTCAGTCATATCGAGGTCGCCTGCCTGCATCCCATATGGAAGCTCCCAGTCAAAGTGATACAGAAGGCTTGCGAGTAAAAGCTCGATGTTTGCTAGCCTAAACGTCATGCCTGGGCAGATTCTTCGTCCTGCTCCAAAAGGTATGTACTCAAAGCTTGTTTCCTTAAAGTCAATGTTGTTTTGCTCGAACCTCTCTGGCATGAATTTTTCGGGTGCATGCCAGTTGCTTGGGTCCCTACCAATAGACCATGCATTGATGAGTACCATAGCCCCTTTAGACACGTCGAATCCTAATATTTGGCATGGTTCACGACATTCCCTTGGTAGAAGTAGTGGCGTTGGAGGGTGTAGCCGAAGCGTCTCCTTGATGACTAAGTGTAAGTAATGCAGACTACTTATGGTCTCCTCGGTTATTCTTTCTTGTCCATAAAGCACTTGTCGTATCTCGTCTTGTGCCTTCTGCATCACCTTTGGATTGTTCAACAGCTCTGACATTGCCCATTGCAGCGTCGTCGCCGCCGTCTCGCTGCCACCTATAAACAGATCCTACATGAATCGGAAGAAAAACAAATATTCAACTGAATTTTCTAAAGAAAAATGAATCTTGCAAAAAAGTATATAATTTGACAGAAAAATTTGCAGACAAATATTGCAAATATTAAACCATTGGATCACAACCTAAAAACCTAGATTACATCCATGGTCTCATATATATATATTGCCCTTAATGGCCTAGTTGCCGGCGCTGCCATCCTCCCCCCCCAACCCTCTCACTGCTGCCTATTCACATCGCTAACGTCACCTCCAACACCAGCGAGGCTCGCCGACGAACCCTCTATACTACCATCCTCCATCGGCTTCTTTGTCCACCACCACTGACGGAGCGTGGGGCTCCTCACCGGGAGACCGCGCAGGCCCCCCTTTGCCGGTTCGGCCGGGGGCCCTGGGTGAGATTCTAAGCTCCTAGTCTGTGTGTGGAAGGTTCGCGAGAATGGAAACACACAAGACACGGGCGATGTATACAGGTTCGGGCCGCTGAGAAGCGTAATACCCTACTCCTGTGTTTTTGTGGATCTATGTATGAAGAAGCTACAAAAGAGCTGGAGAACCAGAGAGCCCTTACTCTCTCCCTCTCTGATCGTTCTGGATCCGAAAATCCATCCCCCTTCTAAGTGGGCAAGGTCCTCCTTTTATACCTCAAGGGGATACCACATGCACCATCTCTCTCTTTTTTGTGGGGACTTATCCTATCTTTTCATAAACAGACGGAGACTTGTATGGTTGCCGTCCGAATGACCTTCTGATGGGACAGCCCATACCTACCTCCACTTCCGCCGGAAGCAGGCGCGACGTGGGAACATGGCTGTCTGTTGACGACATGATCAGTGTCAGACCGGTCACAAATCGGTCATTCTTGTCCACCACGCGTCAGTTTATCAATCTGCATGTTCGCCCCTCTTCATACAATGTCTTGCTTGTAATGGTTAGGATGAAGCCTGGTATATATATCTGACCGGGACCAACGTGCCATCTCCAGGAGCTAACACGCCGGCTCCGGCTAGGGACGAGTGCTTGGAGGCTCTCATCCTGACGGGATGGGGCGAGGCGTGCGTCAGACCGCCTGTCGCCACCTAACCCACGATCTGATCGGGAGCGCGCTGCACTGCGTTACATGCGGCGTGACGCGCTCGTCCAAACCGCAATAAATGTGGTTAGGTGAGCCCCGCTATGCTCACCTACCCCATATACGCGGCGCAAAACCCACAAGGGGTCGGGGCGCCTCGGCCCTCGGGGCCGAGACGGGAGCGGTCCGACCCCTCGGGGAGACAAAGAGAAGGGCGGCCGTATCACCCTCGGGCCCGACCCCCCCCGAGGGGGTTAGGCCACGTGGGTGATCGTGTCTGCCTCAAGTCTCTAAGTCATGATACTCCCGGTCCCATGTCACCGACAGTAGCCCCCGGCGTTATGCCAGGGCGATCGCCCTCCTCGAGGGAAGCGGTCGGGCGTGACGCCACTTCCTAAGGCCTGGTGACATGGTGGGGCCGGTCTAAAAATCGGGACAAGCCGGTTCGTTTTTCCTGGAGATATGGTGATGGCGCTTTGGTCGGCGAGCGTAATTAACGCGCGCACGAGATGTTCCATCTCGACTGCCACAGCCGCATATCCACCTCATGCACCGCAAACGGGCGAATGGGATTAGTGGAAGCGTGGGCGCGAGAAACGAGGGGGCAAGATAGTGGGCGCGAGAAACGAGGAGCCGGGCACAGCGTTGGCAAGGGTATAAAGTCGCCGAGGAAGAGATTTGCTTCCTTCCTCTCGCCATTATTTCCCTTGTCTTCGCCGCTTGCGCCCTAACTCCTTGTTTCCTGTGCCCTACCTTCGCCACACGCGCTCGCTCTTAAACATCTCTTCCTCCGGCGTCATGGCACGGGGCTCCGCTTTGCTTGATGGTAGCGTGCTGCCGCCTTCCCGCATCGTGAGCGAGAGGCAGGCCGGGCTGCCGCGCCGCTTCATGCCGGAATCTGCCACCGGCCGGGAGATAGTTACGCTGGGCGAGGGACGCCCGGTGCCATGCTACCCGGGGCGGTCCGTCTTCTTCCTCCCTTTTGCAATGGCAGGGCTGGTTCCGCCATTTTCTTCTTTCTTCATGGATGTTCTGGAGTTTTACGATCTCCAGATGGCGCACCTCACCCCCAACGCGGTAATGACATTGGCCATCTTCGCGCACCTGTGCGAGATGTTCATCGGGGTGCGCCCATCCCTTCGGCTGTTTCGGTGGTTCTTCACCGTACAGTCGGTGTCGCCGCCGTCGGTGGTTGGTGGCTGCTACTTCCAGCCGCGGGGGCCGGTGTTGAACCGCTATATTCCCTGCGTCCTCCGCAAGAAGTGGGATGACTGGAAGAGCGACTGGTTCTACACCCCCCTCGCCGACGAAGCGCGCCTCCGACTTCCGAGCCAGCCCCCGGCGCAGGCCTCCAGCTGGCGGGCGCCGGTAGATCTGGGAGATGGCTATGACGCCGTCCTCGACCGCCTGGCGGGCCTGCGATCCCTGGGGCTCACAGGGGCCATGGTGTATGGCGACTACCTTCGTCGCCGGATCGCGCCACTCCAGCGGCGCGCCCGGGGTGCCTGGGAGTACACCGGGTCCGAGGACTGTATGAGGACCCACCGGGGGGTCAAATGGGACTGGGTCCCCGAAGACTTCAAGGTAATGATCCAACGGATGCTGAATCTCAGCTCCGCGGAGGCATCCCTCATCCCCCAAGGAGTCCTCCCCCTCTGCAGCGATCCATATCGCGCCAACATCCTGACCATCATGCAGGCGGTCGGGGCGTCGGAGGAGCGGGCTCCTCGAGGCCACGATGGCTCGGGCGGGAGCCGCAGGGGGGAACAATCTACCCCGGGAGGGGGTCGTGCTTCTGGGCCCCGTGATGGGGGCTCGGGGGGCAGCCGCCCTGCCGACGCCCGAGGGAAGAGAAAGCAAGAGGGTACTTCCTCCCCATCTCCTCCCCGAGGGGGCGGGGCGGCGCGTGTCAGCAGCAGGCGCCCGGAGGGGGCCGCGCCGACGCCGCAGCTCGAGAGGGAGCGGAAGAAGAAACGGCTCCGCAAGATGGGGGGGACAGAACCATCCCGGGGAAACCTCATTTCCCCTCCAAGGTGGTCGTTTAACCGACCCCCTCGCAGGTTCGTCCCACGCCCATTGTGGCTGTATTCATTCTTCCAACACAAGTTTTCATTCACCCATCTTGTTTGTCTTCTGGCTTTTCTTCTGCTTCAGCGAGATCCCGTCGCGTCCCTCCCGCCATTCCAAGTCCGGCCAGTCTGAGGCCGAGGACCCGGCGACCACAGAGGCCCGGAGGCGGAAATCTGACCGGCGAGAAGCCGCGGATCGCCTTCGGGAAGCCGAGGAGGCCGCTCGGGAGGCCGCCCGGGCTCGCCAGACCGAGGAAGCCGCTCGGGAGGAGGCCGGACTCTGCCAGGCCGAGGCGACGACATCCTCCGAGGCGACCCGTGAAACTGACCGGCAAGAGGCCGTGGATCGCCTTCGAGAAGCCGAGGAAGCTGCCCAGGTGGCCGTCCGAGCTCGCCAAGCTGAAGAAGCCGCTCGGGAGGAGGCTAGACTTCGCCAGGCCGAGGCGACAACGACTTCCGAGGCAACTCGCGGCGAGGCCGCGGGTGCATCGCTTGGGCCCACTCCCTCGTGCGACGCTCAGGACAAACCAGGTCCGGGGAACATCCCCGAGTCCGGCACGTCCATCGGCGGGCCAAGCCGCGCGGCATCCTCTTCGAGGCGGCTCTTCCCCACACCTTCCGTTGCTCCACTGAGCGCAGAACCCCTTCTGCAGGCCTTGGCCGTCGCAAACACCACGGTGTTGGACGGGTTAAATGCCCAGGTGGAGGCCCTGCAAGCAGAGCGGGCGGAGCTCGACGCCGCATGGGCACGTGTCGAAGAGGGGCGACGCTCGGTGGAGGCCATGGTGGAGGTGGGCCGCAAGGCACACCGCCGGCACGTCTCAGAGCTCGAAGCCCGTCGGAAGGTGCTGGGGGAGATCGCCAAGGAGGTGGAGGAGGAGCGGGGGGCTGCCCTCATCGCCACCACCGTGATGAACGAGGCGCAGGACACCCTCCGCCTTCAATACGGGAGCTGGGAGGTGGAGCTAGGGAAGAAGCTCGACGCCGCCCAGGGGGTCCTTGACGCTGCCGCTGCCCGAGAACGGCGGGCGGCGGAGACCGAGGTGGCATCCCGGCGGCGCGAAGAAGCCCTTGAGGCCCGTGCCATGGCGCTGGAAGAGCGTGCCTGTGCCGTGGAGAGGGACCTAGCGGATCGCGAGGCTGCCGTTGCCATCCGGGAGGCAACGCTGACTGCGCACGAGGCCGCCTGCGCCGAAGAGGAGTCCGCGCTCCGCCTCCGCGAGGACGCGCTCACCGAGCGGGAGCGAGCTCTCAAGGAGGCCGAGGCCGCGGCGCAACGGCTGGCGGACAGCCTATCCCTCCGCGAGGCAGTGCGGGAGGAGCAGGCGCGCCGTAATCTAGAAGGTGCCCGCGCCGAGAGGGCCGCGCTGAATCAGCGGGCCGCTGAGCTCGAGGCGCGGGAGAGGGAGATGGACGCGAGGGCGCGCAGTGGCGGGGCGGCCGCGGGTGAAAGCGACTTAACCGCCCGCCTCGCAGCTACTGAACACACCATCGCCGATCTGCAGGGCGCGCTAGACTCGTCCGCCGGGGAGGTCGAGGCCCTCCGCTTGGCAGGCGAGGTAGGGCCCGGCATGCTTCGGGACGCCGTCTCCCGTCTAGACCGCGCCGGCCGGCAGGCGGGCCTCTGGGGCGGGCGGACTGCGAAGTACGCCGCCAACCAGGGGGGCCTCGCCCAGCGCCTCTCGGAGATAGCCGGGACTCTCCAACGGCTTCCCGAGGAGCTCGAGAGGACGATTAAGTCATCCTCGAGGGACCTCGCCCGAGGAGCGGTGGAGCTCGTACTGGCGAGTTACCAAGCCAGGGATCCCGACTTCTCCCCATGGACGGCGCTGGACGAGTTCCCTCCCTGGACC